CGGCCCAATCCCGGACTCCGACCTAAGGAATGAAGAATATGACCCACCAGGCTTGGTGGAGGATGACGACGATTCAGATAGTTTGAGACTGGATGTTTACCTAGAACTATAAATCTCTAGTTAAAAGTAATTGTAATGATTTTCTGTGTATTAAAGTGTAGATAATTTAGTCAAAGGGTGGAATTGATATAGGAATTAAAATGACTTAAAAGTAATGACTAAATGTTCCACCCTTAAATATAGTTGTGAAATGTTCTTGTTTTAAGTATGATTAGTACTTTCTTAGTAGTGACTAATTATTACACCCTGAAACTGTGTGAAATGTGTTAGAATGTGTGAGTGTAGGACCAGTAAAGATTATGACATTGAGCTACTATTTAGCAATGTGAGTAAGAGTTAGACCAGACAACAAAGGACAAGGAGAACTGTCTACAGACAATTGAGAAACCAAGATAAAGAGGCCTCCCAATTTAGGGAGGAGAGAAACTGTTAGGCTTTTTAAGGAGTATGAGGACGGCGATAACTAAGGAATGCATGTGTGTGTATGTATGTGTGTGTGTATGCATGTGTGTGTGTGTGTGTGTGTGTGTGTGAACTGATGGTCAGGAGAGCAATTATAAAGTGGAAAACTACAGCCTGCCTAAAGAGGGGAGGGATTTTTGTATCACGTATGAGTATAAAAGATGGACTCTGAAATTGTGATGGCAGAATTCTCAATGAATAAATCTCTGACTACGCAGACCGGGACTCTGTCCGTTTCTTGATTTTGGGAGACGCACAGAGACACTGAAATAGTTTGTTAAATAATTCACATAAACATTTGACCCAAGTTAAACAATTTAAAGGCAACGCTACCAAACACTAATTGAGTGTATGTGAACTTCTGAGCCACTGGGAATGTGATGAAATAAAAGCTGAAATAAATAATTCTCTCTACTATTATTCTGACATTTCACATTCTTAAAATAAAGTGGTGATCCTAACTGACCTAAGACAGGGAATTTTTACTAGGATTAAATGTCAGGAATTGTGAAAAACTGAGTTTAAATGTATTTGGCTAAGGTGTATGTAAACTTCCGACTTCAACTGTACATACAACATTTACATTTGACATTTTAGTCGTGCGCAATTTACAGGAGCAATCGGGGTTAAGTGCCTTGCTAAAGGGCACATCAACAGATTTTTCACCTAGTCGGCTCGGCGATTTGAAGCAGCAACCTTTCGGTTACTGGCCAAACGCTTTTAACCACTAGGCTACATACATCATGGCATCTTGTAAGATCATAATATGCATGTTCCATTACAAAAACATAGCTCTGTATGAGTAACATTTTAGGTGACTGCCATAAGCATATATATCTGGTCTAGTCTTGACACCGTTTTTATTATTCTAATAGAGATAATTCAAGAGACTTTCAATCTGAAATTGATCACACAAAAAAAGAAATATCCAAAGAGCTAGCCTGGGGCTACAGGAAGCAAGAATTCCCTTTCACCCCACATGAGGACCGAAACCTTAAGGCTAAGAACCAATTAGTCTCATATCGTTCTGGCTGGTGTTGTATTGGCCTGCAGTATTGGCCTGCAGCTGCTAAGCTCCATTTTGTAGTCACATCTTTATTTTGGTCACATCTGCTTTAAAACAATAAAATGTAGGCCTACCGTAGGCTAATTACAGGCCTATATAGAATATTTCTATAGAGAAGACCTGCAGTTTGACAAGTGAGACATTTTTCAGCCATTGCCGTGGGAAGTAGGGGTGCTGCAGCCAGCACCCTCTGATAAATAAAATAAAAATACAGAATTCCTTTCTCCATAAAATTAGTTAACTTCAGCCTTTATTACTCCTGTATTAGCGGATAACCCCCCAGAAAACACTTTGTTTATCCTATGTTTACAAATAAGTATAAACAAGGCCTAGACCTACACTCGGTGTCAACGACCACAACAATTCTGCACTTAAGTTAATTCCTACCTGTTGCAGACTTGTTGGCTTGTCCATCGTCCAAGGTAATCCAACGATGCACCTGAAAAGCAAGTTCAGGTCGGCCTTTTTACCATTTCTACTTTGGCAAAACATATGCCAATGTGCACATCAAAACATGACAACGTGCACATCAAAACATGACAATGTGCACTTAAAATAACGTCACCCCAGCTTATTTTGCTCTCAACTAAATAAATAAAAAAAGACTAAAAAGCTAAAAACTCTTGTTTTAGTTAATCCGCCTCCATGTTCCTTCGTCTCCACGTTGGCAAAGTCAAGTGAAAAGCTTTTGCAGCAAGATGGGCCTACTTTGCTTTGCACATTTTACATTTACATTTTAGTCATTTAGCAGACGCTCTTATCCAGAGCGACTTACAGTTAGTGAGTGCATACATTCTTATTTTTTTTCCCATACTGGCCCCCCGTGGGAATCGAACCCACAATCCTGGCGTTACAAACGAGCTACATCTGAGCTACATCCCTGCTGGCCATTCCCTCCCCTACCCTGGACGACGCTGGGCCAATTGTGCGCCGCCCCATGCACGGCAGAACAGCATAGAGGGTTTTCAAACATAGCTTTAGGGTAAAGTGTAGAGCTGTAGGCTAGGTCCAAAAACAGTTGGCGTTTTTCCAGTGTGTGCAGAGGGGGGTTACAGGTACAGAAACAATCAAATAAATGCATACAAAGATCACCCAACCCCCCCACCGGATAGGTGTAGTGAAATGTATTGTTGTACAGGGTCAGCCATAGTAGTACAGCCCCCCCCCGGAGCAAATTAGGGTTAAGTGCCTTGCTCAAGGGCACAGACATATTTTGCTTGTCGGCTCGGGTATTCAAACCAGTGACCTTTCGGTTAGTGACCCAACGCTCTAACCGCTAAGCTATCTGTCGCATGCAATAAAACAAAATTATTGTTGACTAAAATAATACAGAAAACTAATCATTCCACAATTTTCAATTCACAATTTAATAAAACGGATTTACATTTGTAATCTACTACATTCATTAACAGTGGTGCTTTGCTGGATTCATCTTTTGTATAATAACAAAATTATTGCAATCTGATCTGAAACCAATATAGATATTTTAATCCACTCTCTTCAAACTTCATTGCTGAAGAGAGCATCAAAAAATGTAAATTCTATTCAAGTCAAGACACAGGGGTTTAAAGGCATTGGATTGGTGCTCAAGCATGGTTGGAGGGAGTTTCCACCATATTCTTCACCCCAGTCCATTAATTACACTAGTACATTCCTTTAAAACCATGAAGGGGGAACGTATGAGTGCAGTTTTAGAGAAGAGTAGAGAATTGGACAGCAAGCCACAGTTCGCAGATGAGGAGAAATACACTTAAGGTCAGTACAAATCTATGGTGCCCCCGAACGGGCTTTTCCTCTCCTTTAAACATTTTACATTTTAGTCATTTAGCAGACGCTCTTATCCAGAGCGACTTACAGTTAGTGAATGCATACATTATTATTACTTATTTTTTTTCAAACTGGCCCCCCGTGGGAATCAAACCCACAACCCTGGTGTTGCAAACGCCATGCTCTACCAACTGAGCTACATCCCTGCCGGCCATTCCCTCCCCTACCCTGGACGACGCTGGGCCAATTGTGCGCCGCCCCATGAGTCTCCCGGTCGCGGCCGGCTGCGACAGAGCCTGGATTCGAACCAGGATCTCTAGTGGCACAGTTAGCACTGCGATGCAGTGCCTTAGACCACTGCGCCACTCAGGAGCACACCTCCGCTGAGCTCAAACCGCATTGGCCTGCAGGGAATGAGTGGTGGGCAGAATGAGCGAGGACAGAGAGATGACGGAGGAGCAGAGCGGGATAAGAGATGGTTTATAAACATGAAAAAGTAAAGGAACACTACGCAAGCTGGTTATAACAACTCAGTTTAATTCCTATGAAATAAAGCCTCTTCACAGTTGGTTTCCACATAAGAACATCGATCTGTAATGAAATTCTATTGTAAAAACAGTTCAATTAACATGGCTAGTATGACATTGACAGATTTCATTCACACACAAGGCTTGCACTATGTACAATGTGACTGAGGGTATGAGAAACATGCTCCCTCAGTAGTCCAGGATAGCACCTCTATAAAGATAGTCAACATACCATTTGAAAATGCAGTTTTTTTGTTTACCGGAGTAGAAATTGAATTTATGCCTCTAAAATCTCCAAAAATAAGTATCATAATTTGATAATCAAAGCATTTTCTCTGTCACCTCGTGAGGTTAGTTTATATATTCACAAAATAAACAGAGAGAAAAGAATGAACAGACAACGTTGAATAATAATATTGATTTGACCAAGAATGCTACAAAACAAGCCCAGAGAATTTCTGGAGTTGGAAAACGTGAGCCATGTGTACATGACTGTTTTGGGTTTAGTCGATACAAGGTCACACTCATAACTACTGCAACACATCCTCACAAAATGCAATGTTTCTGCCGACAAGATTACAATAAAGTGTAACTACCATGGTTGCGTTGCCATTTTTTTTTTTTTCTGTACAAATATTTTATATCAATACGTGAATAAGACATTTAAATACTTGTGAAACCCCCCGTAATACATCCCCACCTTTTCCCAGAACCTCTCACAAACAAAAATACATTATTGAAACTGTACACAAATATTCTGTCCATATGATTTTCTGTTTCATTGTAAGCGGTTGGTTTGGCTTCTATTAAAAAATATTTCTTGCTGGTTTCATAGATTAACACAACAAGCTGATGCACGTAGACTGCTGACGTCACGTGCCCACGTGGATGGTTTCTCCGTTCTGTAAAAGCGAGGGAAGTGGGTAAATAAATGGATGCAAAGAGGTATGGTGTTGATGCTCGTGAGTCTATTCATGTCTATACATTGTGTCTTGCACAATTGCAGAGATACACAGAAGTGAGAAAAGAAGCCTCCTCTTCCGCTGCAGTTCCAGGAGAAGGCCATAACCACACCACAGCAGTGAGAAAATCCCCCCCCCCCCCCCCCCCCCCCCACCAAAAAGACATGCAACTGAGGAGTGCTTTATCTGCATTCTGTTTTCAGCTCCTGTGTAGCAGATGCTACTGTCTATCAGTTAGCCTCCGTTAGCTGAGCCTCCGTTAGCATATATTACGTTAGCATAGATTACGTTATCTTTCCTAACATTAGCTTAGCTCCTGTTAGCCTAGCTATCACTGCGGAGCGGTGTGTCTCATTAAAACAGGGGCCCGGGGCCCTCTTCCTGAGTGGGGAAGTGTGCATTAAGCAGCGTCTCCATGTAGGACACGTAGCTGGAGCTGGGCGTGTAGCCTTCACCCTGGTCCTGGAAGGGCACGGCTGGGGAGAGGGGCGGCAGAGGGGCGGCTAGGGCAGACGGGGCTGGGAGAGGATCAGCGAGAGTTGGCATTGGGGTGAGGGTGGGCTCGGGGATGGCTATTGCCAGAGCCTGGGTGAGGGTAAGGGCACTGATATCAGTGTTGGGGGGACCAGGAGCATGGCTGGGTGTGGGAGGTGCAATACTGTGAGGTACAGGGCCTGTAGCTGGGGGGTGGCATCCGGGGTCCATGGGGGTGAGAGGTGGGGGGTGAGGGGCGGGGAGGCGAGGCCTCTTGGCTGCCTGTGGTTCGTCTCCTGACAGAAGGGCTTCCTGGGTTGGTATTGCCTAGACAGGAAGAGACAGCTGATGGTCAAAACAGTGGCATGGCGTCCACATGATCACTTCTCCCGTATGTTTAGCTCCTACACCCTTCAAACCCCTACAACCAAACAGTAAGGATGGATATTTCCTATTTTTTAAGTCAGGAGCATCACGTAAAGTAAGCATTTTATAAAAGGGCTCAACACAGCCATGACTGACATTAACACCACAACTTAGTGTGGAATAACATTATGAATCTCCCCAGCCCACTCCTGCCTCCCTCTCCCTCTCCCCAGCCCACTCCTGCCTCCCTCTCCCAAGCCCTCCCCTGCCTCCCTCTCCCCAGCCCACCCCTTCCTCCCTCTCCCTCTCCCCAGCCCACCCCTGCCTCCCTCTCCCCAGCCAACCGCTGCCTCCCTCTCCCCAGCCCACCCCTGCCTCCCTCTCCCCAGCCCACCGCTGCCTCCCTCTCCCCAGCCCTCCCCTGCCAACCTCTCCCCAGCCCACCCCTGCCAACCTCTCCCCAGCCCACCCCTGCCAACCTCTCCCCAGCCCACTCCTGCCTCCCTCTCCCCTGCCTCCCTCTCCCCAGCCCTAGTAGGTGGGTGTCAGGGGGTCTCGTACCAGGCGGGTGCAGACCCTCTTGGGCAGGTCCTGCTCCAGCGAGTGGATCTCTGTTTGCTTCAGTAACAGCTGGGACTCATCTTGGAACTCCACCTGAAAAGGGGAGTAGAGAGAGATGGAAAGACAGACAAACAAAGAGAGAGACGGAGAGAGAGAGAGATGGAAAGACAGACAAACAAAGAGAGAGACGGAGAGAGAGAGAGATGGAAAGACAAAGAGAGAGAGAGACGGAGAGAGAGAGAGATGGAAAGACAGACAAACAAAGAGAGAGACGGAGAGAGAGAGAGGGATGGAAAGACAAAGGGAGAGAGACGGAGAGAGAGAGATGGAAAGACAGAAAGAGAGAGAGATGGAAAGACAGAAAGAGAGAGAGAGACGGAGAGAGAGAGAGATGGAAAGACAGACAAACAAAGAGAGAGACGGAGAGAGAGAGAGATGGAAAGACAAAGAGAGAGAGACGGAGAGAGAGAGAGATGGAAAGACAGACAAACAAAGAGAGAGACGGAGAGAGAGAGAGGGATGGAAAGACAAAGGGAGAGAGACGGAGAGAGAGAGGAGAGATGGAAAGACAGAAAGAGAGAGAGATGGAAAGACAGAAAGAGAGAGAGAGACGGAGAGAGAGAGAGATGGAAAGACAGACAAACAAAGAGAGAGATGGAGAGAGAGAGAGATGGAAAGACAAAGAGAGAGAGAGAGACGGAGAGAGAGAGATGGAAAGACAGAAAGAGAGACGGAGAAAGAGATGGAAAGAGAGAATGAGAGAGAGACGGAGAGAGAGAGATGGAAAAGACAGAATGAGAGAGACGGAGAGAGCAAGAGATGGAAAGACAGAAAGAGAGAGAGATGGAGAGAGAGATGGAAAGAGAGAGAGAGACGGAGAGAGAGAGAGATGGAAAGACAAAGAGAGAGAGAGACGGAGAGAGCGAGAGATGGAAAGACAGAAAGAGAGTGAGAGTTGATTAAGGGTCATTCCTAAAAAAAAAAAAACGACAGAGCCCAGGATTGTCAGGATGACAAAACCCAGTCTTGGTGTGTGTGACTGTTGTGTGACTCTGTTGTGTGTGCGTACGAATGTGTATGTGAGAGACTCAAATGAAAGATAGCAGGTGATTAGCCAGCATCACTAGCATGTAGAGAGAGAGTGAAAGAGAGCGAGAGCAAGAGATGGAAAAGAGAGCGAGACGGAGAAAGAGAGAGAGAGACGGAGAGAGAGAGCGAGAGCGAGAGACGGAGAGAGAGAGCGAGAGAGAACGAGAGACGGAGAGCGAGAGCGAGAGACGGAGAGAGAGCGAGAGACGGAGAGAGAGCGAAAGACGGAGAGAGAGCGACATAGAGCGATGGAGAAACAGAGCGATGGAGAAACAGAGCGATGGAGAAACAGAGCGAGAGAAAGGAGGACCTTTGGGGCAGCGATGGCTAAGAGACTAGGTGGTGTTGGCCACCCTGGCACAGGCACCAGCTGGAGACTGATGTTCCTCTCTGCTCCAAGTCGCTAACAGCCTCTTAATGCTGACTCACACTGACATCTCACAGCCAGTAAGACAGGGAGAAGAAAAAGAAGAATACACTTTTTTGAAAAGTAGTTTTTTCTTTCTGAAAGTGTTGTGTTGGAAATAACGTGGATGAAAAACAGGATTGTTGTCTGCTATGCTGTGTAGACTTCTGAGCAGACAACACAGACAAGCACAGCGAGACTCCAAGACTACCACACACATCCCCCTCCACAGTCCCATCCTGTGATTAGAAACACACACACACACACAGAGGCATAACCATACAATCACATACATAGTACATCCAGTCAGAGCGACACACTGATAAAATGGATGGTTTGTGTGATCCTAAACCAGAGGAGTGCATTGCATGGCCAAAAGTATGTGGACACCCCTTAAAATTAGTGGATTCCGTTATTTCAGCCACACCCGTTGCTGACAGGCACACAGCCATGCAATCTCCATAAACAAACACTGGCAGTAGAATGGCCCGTACTGAAAAGCTCAGTGACTTTCAACATGGCACAGTCATAGGATGCCACCTTTTCAACAAGTCTGTTTGTCAAATTTCTGCCCTGCTAGAGCTGCCCCGGTCATCTGTAAGACATGTTATTGTGAAGAGGAAACGTCTAGGAGCAACAATGGCTCAGCCGCGAAGTGGTAGGCCACACAAGCTCACAGAACGAGACCGCCGAGTGCTGAAGCGCGTAAACATCGCCTGTCCTCGGTTGCAACATTCACTACTGAGTTCCAAACTGCCAGTGGAAGAAACTTCAGCACAATAACTTTGTTGGGAGTTTCATGAATTGGGTTTCCATGGCCGAGCAGTCGCACACAAGCCTAAGATCACCATGCGCAATGCCAAGCGTCGGCTGGAGTGGTGAATCATGATTCACCATCTGGCCGTCCGATGAATTAATCTGGGTTTGGCAGATGCCAGAGATCGCTACCTGCCCCAATGCATAGTGCCAACTGTAAAGTTTGGTGGAGGAAGAATAATGGTCTGGGGCTGTTTTTCATGGTTCGGGCTAGGCCCCTTAATTCCAGTGAAGGGAAATCTTAATGCTACAGCATACAATGACATTCTAGACAATTTTGTGCTTCTAACTTTGTGGCAACAGTTTGGAGAAGGCACTTTCCTATTTCAGCATCACAATGTCCCCGTGCACAAAACGAGGTCCATCCAGAAATGGTTTGTCGAGATCAGTGTGGAAGAACTTGACTGGCCTGCACAGAGCCCTGACCTCAACCCCATTGAACACCTTTGGGATGAATTGGAACACCGACTGCGAGCCAGGCCTAATCGCCCAACATCAGTGCCCGACCTCACTAATGCTCTTGTGGCTGAATGGAAGTAAGTCCCCGCAGCAATGTTCCAACATCTAGTGGAAAGCCTTCCCAGAAGAGTGGAGGCTGTTATAGCAGCAACAGGGGAACCAACTCTATATTCATGTTCATGATTTTGGAATGAGTGTGTATGTGATGTGTCTATGTGTGTGTGTGATGTGTCTGTGTCTGTGCCATTTGTCTTGTCATATCACGCATCACCCATGCTGAGAGTGGAAGAGCACACAGTCGTGCTCACAAGGCTCTCTCTCTGTTTGTGTGTATGTGTGTGTGTGTACACACCATGTGTGTTCGGAGGAGTTGTGTTTCTCCGGTACCAACTCCAGGAACCTTGCCTCTAAGCTTTATACCTTGTAAGCACTCTGCGCATCGCACCATAAATTCCCCACACGCACATTCAAAGCACATTCAATGCTAAATCTCTCGACCACGTATGAATGTCCGCTGTATCAAGATATTCCGCCATAATCTACAAGGGCACCATCATTTTCATATGCAGATAAATACTGTGCTAGAAACATTCAGATAAATACTGTGCTGGAAACATTCAGATAAATACTGTGCTGCAAACATTCAGATAAATACTGTGCTGCAAACATTCAGATAAATACTGTGCTGGAAACATTCAGATAAATACTGTGCTGGAAACATTAACAGATAAATACTGTGCTGGAAACATTCAGATAAATACTGTGCTGGAAACATTCAGATAAATACTGTGCTGGAAACATTCAGATAAATACTGTGCTGGAAACATTAACAGATAAATACTGTGCTGGAAACATTAACAGATAAATACTGTGCTGGAAACATTAACAGATAAATACTGTGCTGGAAACATTCAGATAAATGCTGTGCTAGAAACATTCAGATAAATACTGTGCTAGAAACATTCAGATAAATACTGTGCTGGAAACATTCAGATAAATACTGTGCTGGAAACATTCAGATAAATACTGTGCTGGAAACATTCAGATAAATACTGTGCTGGAAACATTCAGATAAATGCTGTGCTAGAAACATTCAGATAAATACTGTGCTGGAAACATTCAGATAAATACTGTGCTGGAAACATTCAGATAAATACTGTGCTGGAAACATTCAGATAAATACTGTGCTGGAAACATTCAGATAAATACTGTGCTGGAAACATTCAGATAAATACTGTGCTGGAAACATTCAGATAAATACTGTGCTAAAAAAATTCAGATAAATACTGTGCTGGAAACATTCAGATAAATACTGTGCTGGAAACATTCAGATAAATACTGTGCTAGAAACATTCAGATAAATACTGTGCTAGAAACATTCAGATAAATACTGTGCTAGAAACATTCAGATAAATACTGTGCTAGAAACATTCAGATAAATACTGTGCTGGAAACATTCAGATAAATACTGTGCTGGAAACATTCAGATAAATACTGTGCTAGAAACATTCAGATAAATACTGTGCTGGAAACATTCAGATAAATACTGTGCTGGAAACATTCAGATAAATACCGTGCTGGAAACATTCAGATAAATACTGTGCTGGAAACATTCAGATAAATACCGTGCTGGAAACATTCAGATAAATACTGTGCTGGAAACATTCAGATACATACTGTGCTGGAAAGTCATATAAGTTGTGGTATAAAAAGGATTTAGGTGCAGAACCAACTTGGTGCAGTGCTGGGGGTTCAATGTAGATGGAGTGGGCCATTGTAAAGCCTACTTAAAGTTGTCATAAGGAGAATTTAGGGGAAATCAATTGTTCATAACCTGTCCATGCATCCTAGCAGTATAATGCCCCCAGTGGTCTAATGACGAGATAAGCTACATTGATTTTAGCCCATATACATACCCAGTTATTTTTGATCCACGAGGGGGTACACAGGGTGTGCAGGCTTTTGTCCTAACCTAGCACTAACATCCCCGGATTCAAGCAATCAACTTTACCTTAGTGCTGGGCTGGAACACGGGGCTAGTGGGCTATTTGGTTGACGAGGGAGAGTGAAGGGAGTGTATGGGGGACCACCGCTACACTCACCTGGTAGTGCTTGTGCACGTGCTCCTTGACGTAGGAGGCGTTGAGCACCTGGCCCTCCATGGTGTGGACCAACATCAGCTCGCCTGTCTCTGGGGGGCCGTTACGAAGACAGTCATGACTCTGGAGGGAGAGGGGAGAACGGAGTGATTGATTTGAGGAAGAGGTTAGGATTTGATGCATCTAACGTATCCACTAGATAGGTCCTCTGTAGCGCAATTGGTAGAGCATGGCGCTTGTAACGCCAGGGTAGTGGGTTCAATCCCCGGGACCACCCATACGTAAAAATGTAGGCACACATGACTGTAAGTCGCTTTGGATAAAAGCGTCTGCTAAATGGCATATGATTATTTATTATTATTACATAGCCACTGCTTTGATTTGAAGAGCTGATTTTCTCTCCTGTCATTATGTTGTCACTACGTCAACACATATCATGGTCACCTCACCATGTCAAACCTTAACGATTAGGACACAGACTGAGGGAGCCAGAGAGGTATAGAGAGACACAGAGACAGAGAGGTGTAGAGAGAGAGGCTGAGAGAGAGAGAGAGAGAGAGAGACTAAGAGAGCGGTGTAGAGACCCTGAGAAACACAGAGGTGTAGAGAGACAGACGGAGAGACGAGAGGTGTAGAGAGAGGCTGATAGACACAGAGGTGTAGAGAGAGAATGATAGAGACAGAGGTGTAGAGAGAGAGGCTGAGAGAGAGACAGAGGTGTAGAGAGAGAGGCTGATAAGAGTCCGAGAGGTGCAGAGAGAGAGGGTGATAGAGTCCGAGAGGTGTAGGGAGAGAGGCTGATAGAGAGACAGAGGTGTAGGGAGAGGCTGATAGAGTGAGAGGTGTAGGGAGAGAGGCTGATAGAGAGAGAGGTGTAGGGAGAGAGGCTGATAGAGAGACAGAGGTGTAGGGAGAGAGGCTGATAGAGAGAGAGGTGTAGGGAGAGAGGCTGATAGAGAGAGAGGTGTAGGGAGAGGCTGATAGAGAGAGAGGTGTAGGGAGAGAGGCTGATAGAGAGAGAGGTGTAGGGAGAGACTGATAGAGAGAGAGGTGTAGGGAGAGAGGCTGATAGAGAGAGAGGTGTAGGGAGAGAGGCTGATAGAGACAGAGGTGTAGAGAGAGGCCCTCACCACAACGTTCTCGGGGAACATGTTGTCACAGAAGGAGCCGTCATCATAGTTGACCTCGTAGAAGGTTTGTGAGGTCATGCCAATGACGGTGCAGGGGTAGAACCAGCCATCGTTGTTCCGTCCAATTACCTTCTGGCCCAGAGAAAACTCCCCCCTTGGCCCCGCCCTTGCCTAGAGAGGGGGAGGAGTGTGAAAATAGAAACTATTTGAATTGAATCTATTGTCATTCTATTTCTATGGGGTTAGAGCAGTGGATCACAGACAGTGTTATATTTCATGGTCCACACACACAGTGTACAAAACATTAAGAACACCTGCTCTTTCCATGACAGACTGTCTAGGTGAATCCAGGTGAAAGCTATGCTCCCTTATTGATGTCACTTGTTAAATCCACTTCAAATCAGTGTAGATGAAGGGGAGGAGACAGGTTAAAGAAGGATTTTTAAGCCTTGAGACAATTGAGACATGGATTGTGTGTGTGCCATTCAGATGGTGAATGGGCAAGACAAAACATGTAAGTGCCTTTGAACGGGGGGTATGGTAGTAGGTGCCAGGCGCACCGGAACTGCAATGCTGCTGGGTTTTTTTTCACGCTCAACAGTTTCCCGTGTGTATCAAGAATGGTCCACCACCCAAAGGACATCCAGCCAACATGACACAACTGTGGGAAGCATTGGCGTCAACATGGGCCAGCATCCCTGTCAAATGCTTTTGACACATTGTAGAGTCCATGCCCCAAGGAATTGAGGCTGTTCTGAGGGCAAAAATCTATATTAGGAAGCCGTTCTTAATGTTTTGTACATTCAGTGTGTGTGATATATACAGTGCATTCGGAAAGTTTTCAGACCCCTTTACTTTTTCCACATTTTGTTACGTTACAGCCTTATTCTAAAATGGATTACATTATTTTATTTCCTCAATCAATCTACACACAATACCCCATAATAACAAAGTAAAAACAGGTTTGTAGAATTTTTTTCACATTTATTAAAAATGACAAATTGAAATATCACATTTACATAAGTATTCAGACCCTTTACTCAGTACTTTGTTGAAGCACCTTTGGCAGCGATTACAGCCTCAAGTCTTCTTGGGTATGACGCTACAAGCTTGGCACACCTGTATTTGGGGAGTTTCTCCCATTCTTCTCTGCAGATCCTCTCAAGCTCTGTCCATTTGGATGGGGAGCGTCGCTGCACAGCTATTTTCAGGTCTCTCCAGAGTTGTTCGATCGGGTTCAAGTCCGGGCTCTGGCTGGGCCACTCAAGGACATTCAGGGACTTGTCCCGAAGCCACTCCTGCGTTGTCTTGGCTGTGTGCTTAGCATCGTTGTCCTGTTGGAAGGTGAACCTTAGCCCCAGTCTGAGGTCCTGAGCGCTCTGGAGCAGGTTTTCATCAAGGGTCTCGCTGTACTTTGCTCTGTTCATCTTTCCCTCGATCCTGTCTAGCAGCCTGTCCCTGCTGCTGAAAAACATCCCCACAGCATGATGCTGCCACCACTAGGGCTGTTGCGGTGACTGTATTACTGCCACACCGGCAGTCACGAGTCATGAAGGCAGTCAAATTCCAAGTGATCGTTTAGTCACACTAATTAGGCTTCTCCAAGCTCTGATGCTGCTGATGGTCTTTAGTAGCCTACCAAACTTGATAACTGCCTGGTACTCAGCACTCTATTGTCCCTCTAATCACTCTGACATCAATGCAAATGTAATTGAAAACCTAATCAAACACTTCATGAGAGCCCATGAGCTCATGTTGCGTAACATTTCTATTGGCTATGCAATTGATGGCCTCTATTAAAAAGAGGAGGATCCCATCAGCTTTCTATAGGCTAGGCCTACTATATTTATTTTTCAACATTTCTAATATTAAGCACATTGCTTATCTTTACAACAGGAGTATAGCCTACCTGGATGGCATGAAAATGAAACACTGAAAAGCGTCCTCCATTCACTATTTAAGTGCATAGATGAAATGACTTTTTTCCCCTGCCCCTGTTTCAAGACAGGAGCATGATAATGGTTTATTCTAAATCAAAACAAATTTCACACATATATTATTTAGTATATGTAAAGACAAGACTAATTCAAGAATAGTCTGATGGGTAACAATATTAGCCTATGACTTGTGAATTATATACACTGCTCAAAAAAATAAAGGGAACACTTAAACAACACAATGTAACTCCAAGTCAATCACACTTCTGTGAAATCAAACTGTCCACTTAGCAAGCAACACTGATTGACAATAAATGTCACATGCTGTTGTGCAAATGGAATAGACAACAGGTGGAAATTATAGGCAATTAGCAAGACACCCCCAATAAAGGACTGGTTTTGCAGGTGGTGACCACAGACCACTTCTCAGTTCTTATGCTTCCTGGCTGATGTTTTGGTCACTTTTGAATGCTGGCGGTGCTTTCACTCTAGTGGTAGCATGAGACGGAGTTTACAACCCACACAAGTGGCTCAGGTAGTGCAGCTCATCCAGGATGGCACATCAATGCGAGCTGTGGCAAGAAGGTTTGCTGTGTCTGTCAGCGTAGTGTCCAGAGCATGGAGGCGCTACCAGGAGACAGGCCAGTACATCAGGAGACGTGGAGGAGGCCGTAGGAGGGCAACAACCCAGCAGCAGGACTGCTACCTCCGCCTTTGTGCAAGGAGGAGCAGGAGGAGCACTGCCAGAGCCCTGCAAAATGACCTCCAGCAGGCCACAAATGTGCATGTGTCTGCTCAAACGGTCAGAAACAGACTCCATGAGGGTGGTATGAGGGCCCGACGTCCACAGGTGGGGGTTGTGCTTACAGCCCAACACCATGCAGGACGTTTGGCATTTGCCAGAGAACACCAAGATTGGCAAATTTGCCACTGGCGCCCTGTGCTCTTCACAGATGAAAGCAGGTTCACACTGAGCACATGTGACAGACGTGACAGAGTCTGGAGACGCCGTGGAGAACGTTCTGCTGCCTGCAACATCCTCCAGCATGACCGGTTTGGCGGTGGGTCAGTCATGGTGTGGGGTGGCATTTCTTTGGGGGGGCCGCACAGCCCTCCATGTGCTCGCCAGAGGTAGCCTGACTGCCATTAGGTACCGAGATGAGATCCTCAGACCCCTTGTGAGACCATATGCTGGTGCGGTTGGCCCTGGGTTCCTCCTAATGCAAGACAATGCTAGACCTCATGTGGCTGGAGTGTGTCAGCAGTTCCTGCAAGAGGAAGGCATTGATGCTATGGACTGGCCCGCCCGTTCCCCAGACCTGAATCCAATTGAGCACATCTGGGACATCATGTCTCGCTCCATCCACCAACGCCACGTTGCACCACAGACTGTCCAGGAGTTGGCGGATGCTTTAGTCCAGGTCTGGGAGGAGACCCCTCAGGAGACCATCCACCACCTCACCAGGAGCATGCCCAGGCGTTGTAGGGAGGTCATACAGGCACGTGGAGGCCACACACACTACTGAGCCTCATTTTGACTTGTTTTAAGGACATTACATCAAAGTTGGATCAGCCTGTAGTGTGGTTTTCCACTTTAATTTTGAGGGTGACTCCAAATCCAGACCTCCATGGGTTGATCAATTTGATTTCCATTGATAATTTTTGTGTGATTTTGTTGTCAGCACATTCAACTATGTAAAGAAAAAAGTATTTAATAAGATGATTTCATTCATTCAGATCTAGGGTGTGTTATTTTAGTGTTCCCTTAATTTTTTTGAGCAGTATATTATCACTTGTGAATGATGCCCAGTGTAAGGCAAGAAACAATGCCTTTTTTTTGCTACATTTTCTAATCAGTCACACACCTCATGTAGCCTAGCCCATAGGCCTATATGTTTTGCTAAGGTTTGTAACACAACTAAAGTGGCCAAATAACTTCTTAAAATTAAGCACATTAATCTGCTGTAAAAGGGTGTAGAGCCTAACTGGCATACATAAGCAGCGGGTGAGTTTCAAGTTTGGGGAAGATCATTTTCACAATAAAAATGCACCTTTATGATAAAAGCATTACATGCATAATCGCATTTGCAGTCACTTTTGATAAATTGTGTTTTCCCGCTAATGGAACATTTGTGCTTATAGCCTACTACCATTTGCACATTGCTGCGCTTATAATGTGAAGAAATAGCCTAATAGTTTATCACATTTTAAGCTAAACGTTCTGATCTGTTGCGTCAGCCTCATTGCGTAAAAAACGTTGATGCTAGTGTTTGTATTAATTTGGGATCTATCGCATCCCACAACTGACCCAGACTAGGTTTGGAATATTTATTTATTGCACAGAATAGGTCAACATTTGTACTATGGGGGATAGTAGATTGACATAGGCTAGTGCTTTTGCTGTTCGTTAGGCCGACTCATCTTGTTGGCTGACGAAATGTAAATGTGGACAGTTCTTCCAATATCTTCAATATGCACCTCGGAAATAGGACAGTTGCGTCCCCGAAGTGTTTGTCTTCACTTGTAGCCTGTGAGAAAGACCAGATCACGTGATGGAGAGCCATGTGAGTGAGAGGTGCTTCTGAGCACGCAGCACTCAGGGAGAAGGGCACAACGGCCACTGGCCGCAAAAGGCATGGATTTTTATAGGGTGCGTTACGGCCACACATAGGGGATGCCACCGGGAAATTCGAGGCATTATCAAGTGCTTGTCAAATTGTGAATGAGAGACTGATGAAGGGTGTACAGCCAGCGCAAAAAACAAAGCTGAGCTCATGCCTTTCAAGCAACTTTTTTCAAATAATCATTAGAGTCGCATCATGCATTCTTACAAAGTATTCAAAATCAAAACATATAGAACAACTAAAGTTACATTAATAACTCTAAATTAAGCAAATAGGAGTACCTCAACCGCTCAACACAGAATAGCCACATGTGCACACTCCCTCAAATCGTTTGGAGAAAATATCCTTTCTATTTTATTCAGCTTTGTTCAATTGTATTCTTCATACTATAAAATAATATAAAATAATACCACAGAATTCTAAGCAAATCTTGTTTGCTAAATGAACTAGTGTAGCCCACAGCCATATAGCATAGCCAGATCAGGACCAAACATAAGGACAAACTCAGAGTTTGTTATTCTTTTCTTCTGAAATAGACTACATTTTCTTCATATCATGTTTTTTTAGACCTGTCTAAAATAAATAATGGATTTATTGTGAAGGTTTAGGCTATTTTACATGGATTTATTAGAATTGTTCAAATGTAGATAATGTGTGGAAGCCAAGAGATTCGTGTTTGTGTTAATTAACGGTAAATTACCGTGAGACCGACGAAAAGTTGTGACCGCCACAGCCCTAGCCACCACCATGCTTCACCGTAGGGATGGTGCCAGGTTTCCTCCAGACGTGACACTTGGCATTCAGGCCAAAGAGTTTCATCTTGGTTTCATCAGACCAGAGAATCTGTTTCTCATGATCTGAGAGTCCTTTAGGTGCCTTTTGGCAAACTCCAAATGGGCCATCATGTGCCTTTTACTGAGGAGTGGCTTCCGTTTGGTCACTCTACCATAAAGGCTTGATTGGTAGAGTGCTGCAGAGATGGTTGTCCTTCTGGAAGGTTCTTCCATGTCCACAGAGGATCTCTGGGAGCTCTGTCAGTGACCATCGGGTTCTTGGTCACCTTCCTGACCAAGGCCCTTCTCCCTCGATTGCTCAGTTTGGCCGGGCGGCCAGCTCTAGGAAGAGTCTTGGTGGTCCCAAACTTCTTCCATTTAAGAATGATGGAGGCCAATGTGTTCTTGGGGACCTTCAATGCTGCAGACATTTTTCGGTACCCTTCCCCAGATCTGTGCCTCGACACAATCCTGTCTCGGAGCTCTACGGACAATTCCTTCGACCTAATGGCTTGGTTTTTGCTCTGACATGCACTGACAATTGTGGGACCTTATATAGACAGGTTTGTGCCTTTCCAAATTATGTCCAATCAATTGAATTTACCACAGGTGGACTCCAATCAACTTGTAGAAACATCTCAAGGATGATCAATGGAAACAGGATGCACCTGAGCTTAATTTCGAGTCTCATAGCAAAGGGTCTGAATACTTATGCAAATAAGGTATTAAAGTTTTTTTATTTTTAATACATTTGCAAACATTTCTAAAAACCTGTTTTCGCTTTTGTCATTATGGGGTATTGTGTATAGATTGATGAGGAAGACAATACATTTAATCCATTTTAGAATAAGGCTGTAATGTCCTTTAGGCTGTAACGTAACAAAATGTGGAATAAGGGAAGGGGTCTGAATACTTTCCGAATGCACAGTACATAGTACAGACCCCTGGCCATTGCATAGATAGAAGGCTTCATCAGAAAACCGTACAGCTTAACAGTGCAGCTAATACTTATCTTGATATCATACATCCATATTATACAGATGATTGTTTTGCTGCTGTTATGGCCATATTCAGTAGGCAAACATTGAACGTTGCATGTAGAAATGTTGTGAATAGAGCCATAATTATTCCTCATTCTACATGCCAGAGGGGCATGCATGTCCTGCATAACCTATTCATATCTGAACATTCTACAATGTTGTGCCCCAACTGTACCTTGTGATTGGTCTTCTTGTGCTTGTGGCAGGTGACAGACACCACGTAGGGCCAATCGGCTGGCTTCATGACCACGCCGGCAATGTGGGCGCAGGTGACGTGGAAGGAGGTGGAGCAGCTGTCGTGGGAACACTGGATACACGCACCGCACATCTGCTTGGTGTTCTTGTGGCAGTACACACACCTCTGCAACACCAGAGAAGATGTGTGGTAGAATCAAAACATTGGATTTTGTCTGTGTCTAAAGTCAATGTAACTTTTTTTTATACACTATTATCAGAGCAAAAAACATTTCAGGAGTATGTTTTTAAAATCGGCAGGAAGCTTGGCTGAAAGCTTGCTTAACTTCGATTGAGTTCTTTGATGCAGTATCAACACAGTTTATTCGTTGCAGTGTTTCCCCTATACGCATTTAGCAGCAGCGCTGCTCCCTCTGGATCAACTCCTCATTGTCTCTTTCCTTCCTTCCTTCCTTCCTTCCTTCCTTCCTTCCTTCCTTCCTTCCTTCCTTCCTTCCTTCCTTCCTTCCTTCCTTCCTTCCTTCCTTCCTTCCTTCCTTCCTTCCTTCCTTCCTTCCTTCCTTCCTTCCTTCCCTCCCTTTACTATTTCAATCCCTTCCTGCAGCTCTCCGCCTCACAGCTCTCCATAGGGCCCCGGATCTGAGATATTTCAGCGGTCCCAGTGTCGCCCGATTGAATATCCTACTGGCCAGAATCAGGAGACGGACTACACAGACGGAACGAACCAAAGGGGTAACGAGGGGGGAGATTTATGGACGTCAACAAACATTTATTTATTTGTTTGTTTGCTAAGTCCCCCCGTTTTTTCCTTCAAACTTTGCCGGCCTGGGTAAAGCCATTACATTACATTTCCTCCGAGTTTTGTTTCAATATTACATGGTCCCTTGTAAAATAAAGAATATACAAAATTAACAAATTCGGCAGCCAGAATTCTCAACAACGTTAGGGTGGGGGTGAACATTCTTGAAAGTTATTCTGTAGCTAAGGAGCCTAAATTGGAGTAGAAGTGCTCACCAGTCTCTGCACTAATGAATGAATCGACGCAAAGCGTCCCATTCTACTCTGGATATATTGTGACTATTTTACTTCAGAGGAAAAACAAAGGTACCGTGGAGTTCTTTGAGGGTTTGTGCTGCGTTCCAAAGGACTAGCAATTAGTTTGAACCCTTCCATCTATCCCAGAACTTTCAAAAGGAGGACAGACTCAGAATCACTTTTTCTGAATACAAGCAAATATCAATGGGTTCGGGAACTAAATCTAACATAGTGATAAGCCCAGCCATCCAATCATTAAGAGGGTGTGACGGGTTTTTACAGCCTTTGGAAACGCGCCTTTGACAGCGCATGGATGTAAATTATTCAAAAGACAATCCTCACTTCCTTTGATAGATTATGACATTATTTGTAGATTTGTGACAATGCCACTGCAAAGGCTGTGCAATTTACTGTGAAGTCGCTTTGGATTAAGCGAAGGATGGAGGGAGGGGGATTAAGCGAGGGACGAGAGCGGTTTGTTCAAAGGCGCGGCAGCGATGGGAAATTGCCTCCTGCCAGTGGGATCAATGCAGATCATTTAGCGCAGTGAGAAATTACACCTGATTATTCAGACATTCCATTTTTGTGCATCTATTATTCACCAACGCCACAGTCCTCCTGCTCCTCAGCTCACAAACACACAATCCATCCATCCAGGAGGAGGAGGGGGACGGAACAGATAGAAAACGGAGTGACCGAGAGCCAGAGAGAATGAGACCGGTGAGAGTGAAAGGAGTTGGAGAGAAGAGCGAGAGAGAGACCACCAAGAAGGAGAGAGCGAGACCACCAAGGACAGAGCGAGACCACCAAGGACAGAGCGAGACCACCAAGGACAGAGCGAGACCACCAAGAAAGAGAGAGAGAGAGAAGAGACCACCAAGAAGGAGAGAGACCACCAAGGACAGAGCGAGACCACCAAGAAAGAGAGAGAGAGAGAGAAGAGACCACCAAGAAGGAGAGAGACCACCAAGGAGAGCGAGACCACCAAGAAAGAGAGAGAGAGAGAAGAGACCACCAAGAAGGAGAGAGACCACCAAGGAGAGAGAGAGAGAAGAGACCACCAAGAAAGAGAGAGAAGAGACCACCAAGAAGGAGAGAGAGGAGAGAGAGACCACCAAGAAGGAGAGAGACCACCAAGGAGAGAGAGAGAGAGAGAGAGAGAGAGAGAGAAGAGACCACCAAGAAAGAGAGAGAGAGAGAAGAGACCACCAAGAAAGAGAGAGAGAGAGAGAAGAGACCACCAAGAAAGAGAGAGAGAGAGAAGAGACCACCAAGAAGGAGAGAGGAGAGAGAGAGAGACCACCAAGGAGTGACAGAGAGAGAGGAGACCACCAAGAAGGAGCGACAGAGAATGAAAGAGTGAGAGAAAGAGGTGTGACAGAGAATGAGATATGGGAGTGGGAGAAGAGAGGTAGCATGTGATGGAAAGTGTGTGAGACCAGGGAGAGTAGTTGCAGTTTAGGGGCATGTTTGGGGGAGCATAGGCCTAATCCTAGCCAATCCAACTCATTTTGAGGCTCCTCAATACAAGGGAGGTCAAAAGGTTTGTGTGTCTGGCTGAAATGACTTAACACTTCGACAATATAAAACATAACACAAAAAAATTGACCAGTGCGGTGTTTCATTAGGGAACGGAAAACATTTTAAAAGGATTCACAAAGAACAAAAATGAAATGTGTGTTTCTTATTGGACAACTCCAGGTAGTCCCACAGTATTAGTTATTTTGTCTACCGTTTGGAATGTAATGAACATGACCCAGGCAGTTTGGCTCCCTCCCTCCCTCCCTCCCTCTCTCCACTCACCAGAACCTTCCTGCTCTCAGGGATGGCGCTGATGTCTACCGGCTCCCTCGCGATGGCGTTGACGAAGCGAGCCTCCGCCACGGCGATGGCACAGATCACATGGACCCACCTGGTGGAGAGGACACACAAATCGACGTGAGCCCCCGACTGTTCACAACACCTAGGGTCACGATATCAGTATTGTCATGCAAATGTAAAGAGTGAGGGGGGGGGGGGGGGGGGAATTTCTTGAGGAAAAATAGTCCCACTGTTGGAAACCAACAGCTTTATGTTGTCGCCCAGAGTCTCATGTGTTTATTTCTGAGCTACACAATATGATACTGGTATGGTGACAACACAGTGAATGGCATAAGTAATGCATATTAAAGTAACATCGCGGTACTCCAGTGTTATTGAGAAGGTAGGAAAGGCCACTGACCGGTTGTCTGTGGTCATCTTTAGAGCGCCTCCCCGTAAGTTACACAGACAGCAATCCTGTGAGAACACAAACACAGAGTTTAGGTTAGGATGTGGGCAGGCAGTGGGCACAAACCGGAGGGGAGGACCCGAACGAGTGTGCTCGCATACTACGTTAAAAATCCTTCGCTTGAAAAATGGGAAAAAAGCAGCAATAATACAGTTTGTCCATTTTGAGACGCTGTAGCCAGTACACGCTTCCTCAAAATAGTCAGAATTCAACTAAGATTACTCATTAATTTGACGTTTTTGTCAAGGATATCTTAAGTAGCACATTTTGTGAATTACAACAAACATTTCATTGAAGAAACCCTACTGTTAACCAAAAACCTCAAAATATCGTCATAATATATGCACAAACTGTTCCGAACTGTTTTGGATAGGAAGCCTGTGGACGCCTTAAGAGTGACCGATGTCCCCACATATACATACGTTTCCAAATTGTATAAATGCATAGATATTGTCAATAGAGAAGCCCAGTGGTTTCAGTCCGTAGGAACTTGTTTCAGGTGAATGCATTGTGTTGAGTGAGGGACTCACTGCTGTCCAGGCAAGCGCTGTACATCGCGAACACATCCAGGACTCATCGTGTACCGTGTCCAGACTAACACCATAACAACCTGGGGAGAGAGAGAGAAGGAGAGAGAGAGAGAGAGAGAGAGAGAGAGAGAGAGAGAGAGAGAGAGAGAGACAGAGAGACAGAGAGACAGAGAGACAGAGAGACAGAGAGACAGAGACAGAGAGACAGAGAGAGAGAGGAGAGAGAGAGAGAGAGAGAGAGAGAGAGGGAAAGAGTGTAGAGAGGAAGAAGAGAGAGAGAGAGAGAGAGAGGAGAGAGAAGAGGGAGAGAGAGAGAGAGAGAGAGAGAGATGGAGTATAAGGGAGTGGTAGAGAGAGAGAGAGTGAGTGCGTGTTTGAAGAGATAGAGAAGAGAGAGAGAGAGAGCGCCGATGGGAGAGGGTAGAAGAGAGAAGAGAGAGAGAGAAGACGAGGGAGAGTGTAGAGAGAGAGAGAGAGAGAGAGAGAGTAGGAGAGTAGAGAGAGAGGTAGAGAGAGAGAGAGAGAGGAGAGAGAGGATAAAGAGAGAGAGCGACAGAGGCAGGAGAACAGAGAAGACCAGAGAGACAGAGAGACAGAGAGACAGAGAGAGGAGAATAAATCAACAGATTAAAGTAATCTTCTGGCCTGCCTTCTACACTTAGTGGCACTGAACCTACTAAGCCATGGGAAAAGGACTCCATTAATGAAAGTACTTTCTCCTACAAAAATATCTTCTTACAAATCCCCACATCTACATGTCATTCGCTGTTCTGCAGTAGTCCCTTATTCGGCACCAAAATATATTATTTATTTTATAGCCTTTTACCTCGTGTGCATTTAAATCAACTACGCACGACCTTCCACACCCACTAATGACCTGGGAAGAGAAGCGAGTGGGGGGTGAGAGGAGATCGTTTGTTTTTGACAGGATGCCTCCCCGCTTCAATTCATCTTATCAATAACCTTGGTACTGCCGTCTGTCCAGTGTCTAGCTAGAACAGCGCTCCGCTCTCCTGGATGCACTAATTAACTTCCCTGCGTGTGTGTGTCCTTCACTAAGGAACCAATTGAGTTTACATGTGCCCTAAATAGATGCATTAATGTGTGGGACATCCATGATAAACCCTGGTGTGACCAATTCACTGAAACTGAGAATAACAACAGGGCTGGAAATGATCACAGTCAAAGCAGCACTGGAATGCAGTCAGAACCAACTAAGCAAGCAGAGAAAGACACACCAACTGTTAACAAGCTCCTTGCGGCGCTGCACTTTGACAGATGCCCCACGCCTGTAAAAGAGAAAAATAACAAGTAGCGGGGAAAGCGAGTTGGTTGGTAAATAAAGGAGGATAAACTTTCTGGAGTGTCTCCTTTAGAGAGAGAGAGAGGCTCATTGCTGTTCTACAGGCTGACTGCCTAAACCCAGTCAAGGAATGTTAAAGCATTGAGCCCTCGGAGCGAGGCGACATGGGAACTGAGGGAGCCTAGATTTTGTTCGTCGCCTCTTGATTTCTGCAGGTCCTCAGGGGACCTAGGGTATAAAGAGGTGTGTGGTGTTGAAGGCCTGGGTGGGTTGGTCTCTACAGCATGTCCTTACCTAACCTCTGCTGACCTCCGCAGCTGGCAAGGGCTGAACACAGCTCCGGCACAGGGCTGAACACAGCTCCGGCACAGGGCTGAACACAGCTCCGGCACAGGGCTGAACACAGCTCCGGCACAGGGCTGGCCGGAACGAGTCAGACAGCTGCTGGGGAGGTGTGTGTGTGGTAAGACCATACTGTAATTACCCTCACTCAACCAAAACTGGGGAATAGTCCAATTTGGAGTAATTTGTTGGCAGTAGGCCAACAAAGACAGTTGCCCATATATATATAATGTCTAAGAAGAATAGATGTTTGGATGTTAGGAAATCAGCACATGAATTGTCCAGTGACAGTGCTATGGAACTCAACTAATACTTCACACTGTCTACGATATGGACTATGTTGGTTGCAGCCAATATTCACAATTGATGTCACGTAGCTCTAATACAAAGTTATCCAAGACCGGTCTGAAGCAATCAGAGTAGCGTCACATAGCTGTCTGCACTGTGTCCACACTAACCGCTCCTCGCATGTCACATGCTAACCAAATTAAAATACATTTTATTTGTCACATGCTTCGAATACAACAGGTGAAGACTTTACCGTGAAATGCTTCCTTACGAACGTTTTCCCAACAATGCAGAGTTAAAAAGTACAAAAAAATTGCAAAACATTTATAAATAAATAGTAACACAATAAAATAACAATAATGAGGCTTTATACACAAGGAGTACCAGTACCGAGTCAATGTGCAGTGGTACGAGGTACTGTAGTTGAGGCAATATGTACATGTAGGTAGGGGTAAAAGTGACCAGGCAATCAGGATAGATAGATAAACAGAGTAGCAGCAGTGTGTGTGAAAGTGTGTCTATACGTGAGTGCGTGGCGTCAATACGCATGCGTGTGTTTTGTGTGTGTGAGCGTATGTAGTGTGTGCGTTGGAGTGTCAGTATAGTATGTGTGAGTGTGTTGGTAGAGTCCAGTGAGTGTTCATAGAGCCGGTAAAAAAACAAAACAAAGGGGGGATGGTCAATGCAAATAGTCCGGTTAGCCATTTGATGAACTGTTCAACAGTCTTATGGCTTGGGGGTAGAAGCAGTTCAGGACCCTTTTGGTCGCAGACTTGGCGCTCCGGTATCTCTTGCCGTGCGGTAGCAGAGAGAACATTCTATGATTTGGGTGGCTGGAGTCTGTCAATTTTTAAGGCCTTCCTCTGACTGGTATAAAGGTCCTGGATGGCAGGGAGCCCGGCCCCAGTGATGTTCTGGGCCATATGCACTACCCTCTGTAGCGCCTTATGGTGGGATGCCAAATAGTTGCCATACCAAGTGGTGATGCAGCCAGTCAAGATGCTCTCAATGGTGCAGCTGTATAACTTTTTGAGGATGCCAAATCTTTTCAGCCTCCTGAGGGGGAAGAGGCGTTCTTGTGCCCTCTTAACGACTGTGTTGATGTGTTTGGACTATGATAGGTCTTTAATGATGTGGACACAGAGGAACATGAAGCTCTCGACCCGTTCCACTACAGCCCCGTTGATGTGAGGGGGGGTGTGCTCGGCCCTCCGTTTCCTCTAGTCCACGATCAGCTCCTTTATCTTGCTGACGTTGAGGGAGAGGTTGTTGTCCTGGCACCACACTGCCAGGTCTCTGACCTCCTCCCTGTAGGTGGTCTCATCATTGTCAGTGATCGTGTCATCATTGTGTTGGGAGTCGTGCGTGGCCACTTAGTTGTGGGTGAACTGGGAGTACAGGAGGGGACTAAGCACGCACCCCTAAGGGGCCCCCGTGTTGAGGGTCAGCGTAGCGGATGTGTTGTTGCCTACTTGTTAGAAAGTCCAGGATCCAGTTGCAGAGGGAGGTGTTCAGTCCCATGGTCCTTAGCTTAGTGATGAGTTTGGAGGGCACTATGGTGTTGTAGTCAATGAACAGCGTTCTCACGTAGGTGTTCCTTTTGTCCAGGTAGGAAAGGGCAGTGTGGAGTGCAATAGAGATTGCGTCCTCTGTGGATCTGTTGGGGCGGTATGCGAAATGGAGTGGGTCCAGGGTGTCTGAGATTATGGTGTTGATGTGAGCCTTGACCAGCCTTTCAAAGCATTTCATGGCTACAGATGTGAGTGCTACGGAGCAATAGTCATTTAGACAGGTTACCTAGGAGTTCTTGGGCACAGGGACTGTGGTGATCTGCTTGAAACATGTAGGTATTACAGACTGGGCCAGAAGAAGATGAAAATGTCAGCGAAGACACTCGTCAGCTGATCAGCGCATGCTCTGAGTACGCGTACTGGTAATCCGTCTGGCACTGCGGCCTTGAATGTTAACATGTTTAAAGGTCACATCGGCTACGGAGAGCGTGATCTCACTGTCATCCGGAACAGCTGGTGCTCTCATGCATGGTTCAGTGTTGCTTGCCTCAAAGCGAGCATAGAACGCATTTAGCTCGTCTGGTAGTCTCGCGTCACTGGGCAGCTCACTGCTGGGTTTCCCTTTGTAATCCGTGATAGTTTGCAAGCCCTGCCACATCTGATGAGCGTCGGAGCCGGTGTAGTAGGATTTGATCTTAGTCCTGTATTAACGCTTTGCCTGTTTGATGGTTCGTCAGAGGGCATAGCTGGATTTATTATAAGCGTCTGGATTAGTGTCCCGCTCCTTGAAAGTGGCAGCTCTAGCCTTTAGCTAAGTGTGGATGCTGCCTGTAAGCCATGGCTTCTGGTTGGGATATGTACCTACGGTCACTGTGGGGACGACGTCATCGATGCACTTATTAACGAAGCCTTTGACTGATTTGTTAAACTTCGATTGCATCGGATGAATCCACGAAGATATTATAGTCTGTGCTAGAAAACAGTCCTGTAGCTTAGCATCGGCTTCATCGGACCACTTCCGTATGAGTGCGTCACTAGTACTTCCTGTTTGTTTTTGCTTGTAAGCAGGAACCAGGAGGATAGAGTTATGGTCAGATTTGCCAAATGGAGGGCGAGGGAGAGCTTTGTATGAGTGTCTGTGTGGAGTAAAGGTGAGTTAAGACTTTTTTTTTAGCCTCTAGTTGCACAGGTGACATGCTGGTAGAAATTAGGTAAGACAGTTTTCCTGCATTAAAATCACCGGTCTCTAGGAGCGCCGCCTCTGGATGAGCATTTTCTTGTTTGCTTATGGCCCTATACAGCTCCTTGAGTGCGGTCTTAGTGCCAGCATCAGTTTGTGGCGTGACCCTGGACAACACCCTGTCGTTCTCCGCTAACATCAAGGCGGTGACCCGATCCTGTAGGTTCATGCTCTACAACACTCGGAGAGTACGACCCTGCCTTACACAGGAAGCGGCACAGGTCCTAATCCAGGCACTTGTCATCTCCCGTCTGGATTACTGCAACTCGCTGTTGGCTGGGCTCCCTGCCTGTGCCATTAAACCCCTACAACTCATCCAGAATGCCGCAGCCCGTCTGGTGTTCAACCTTCCCAAGTTCTCTCACGTCACCCCGCTCCTCCGCACACTACACTGGCTTCCAGTTGAAGCTCGCATCTGCTACAAGACCATGGTGCTTGCCTACGGAGCTGTGAGGGGAACGGCACCTCTATACCTTCAGGCTCTGATCAGTCCCTACACCCAAATGAGGGCATTGCGTTCATCCACCTCTGGCCTGCTGGCTCCCCTACCTCTGCTGAAGCACAGTTCCCGCTCAGCCCAGTCAAAACTGTTCGCTGCTCTGGCACCCCAATGGTGGAACAAGCTCCCTCACGACGCCAGGATAGCGGAGTCATTCACCACCTTCCGGATACATTTGAAACCCCACCTCTTTAAGGAACACCTGGGATAGGATAATAATAAAAATAAAATAATAATAATTGTAAAGTGGTTATCCCACTGGCTATAAGGTGAATGCACCAATTTGTAAGTCGCTCTGGATAAGAGCGTCTGCTAAATGACGTAAATGTAAATGTAAATGGACAGCTACGAAAAATATAGATCAACTCTTGGTAAATAGTATGGTCTACAGCTTACCATGAGGTATTCTAACTCAGGCGAGCAGAACCTTGAGGCTTCCTTAATATAGAGATTACGCACCAGCTGTTAACAAATCCTTAATATAGAGATTACGCACCAGCTGTTAACAAAGACGCTGCCGTTCTGTCCTACCGATGTATAGAAAAAAACAGCTAGATCTATATTTTCCATGTCCTTATTCAGCCATGACTCTGAGAAACATAAGATATTACAGTTCTTCAGACCACGTTGATAGGATAGTCTCGAACAGGGCTCGTCCAGTTTATTCTCCAGTGATTGCACGTTCGCCAATAGAACGGAGGGTAGAGGCGGTTTATCCACTCGCCAGCGAAGTCTCGTCAGATATCCACGCTGGCTTTTAACGGCGACTCTTCTTTTTTCGAGTGTTGGGGATTTGGGCCTGGTCCAGATTGAGCAGTATGTCCTTCGCCGCAGACTCATTGAAGTAGAAATCGGTTAGTGATCGCTGTTCTGATGCCCAGAAGCTCGTTTCGGTAATAGGAAAATATGGCGGAAACATTATGTACAAAAACAAGTTAAGATCAGCGCAAAAAACCCCGCAAAATAGTACAATTGGTCAGGAGGAGCCCTTAAAAACGGCTGCTATTCCCTCCAGCGCCATTTTAGTCTAACCACTCCCTGTGTGTCGCACGCTAACCACTCCCCGCCACATGCCTCCTCACCATACAGAGGCTAGCCTAATTGGCTACGCAGCTTAGACTGGACGAGTAGAGGCGCAAAACAACTTTATTTACCTATTTTTCGGCAGGGGAACAGTTTTGGGGGGGGCACCAGCACAACAATCCTGGGAAGTTCAGGGTGAATGGCAGTAAATTAGCTAGAACAATTTGATTGGCATTTTGATCCTTGTGGAGAGAAAAATCCCTGCTTCGGGCCCGAGGGGGTGCAAATACATAATGGGAATTTAGATTAATATGCCGTGCAAACACTACGGACCATTAGCTTTGTGAATAAATACCAGACTGGGGAGAACAAACACAGTAAATATCCTTTTAGGTAAACATGGTAGGGGGGTTGACTGACTGGTTGCATGGTACTGATTTGTTTGTTTGGTGAGGGCCTGGTTTGGTTGGCTGGAAATATAGAATGTAGAGAATTTGTTTAGTGTTTCTGTCTGGCTAGTAGTTGACTAAAGTAAACATGTTGTTTTGACTGAGCGCTTTAACAGACTGATCTTTAGAAGACAATGTGATTGTTTTGACTGACTGATATAAACAGACTGCCTGCCATTCTACCCATCTATCCGTCCGTCCGTCCATCTGCTTGCCTGTCTGTCTCAGTCTATATCAATGCGTCTATCTTTCTGTCGGCCTACTCACTGGCGTGGACCTGCAGACTGCAGGAGGAGCAGGAGAGCAGCAGGCTGGTGCAGTCTTCTCCCGTGTGGGAGTTGGAGGGCAGCGGCTCTGTGTTGTCCGGCCCAGCGCTGAAGCACATCTCGGGGACAAGCGGGTGGGTGCGGCTTCCGCAGCGGGGAGCGTGGGGGTGGTTGGGGGCACTGGGGCTGTCGGACGGGTACAGAGAGTCCTTCTGGGGCTGAATGAAATAGGGGAAGGAGGTTACATATATGGGCTCACTGAGTGGAGTTTAGAGCTGTCACATTTTCCCAAAAAAATCTATATTGAACACGGGAGCTAAAACCACAAATTTGTCCAAATTACATTTGAAATTTCATCTGAAACATTTCCATCAAAAGTCTTAGTCAAAACTGATGGGAGTCAGTTGCTGATGGTGCCTCTTTGTGCACTAATATGTAGCTTAAACACCAGCTTTTCATTTTCTCTGTTCAAATGTAATTCATGCATTGTTAACCTTTAATCAAATGAGCAAATGGTTAACATGACTTTCTGCAATCTGCAGACTCAGCCCTGTGTCAAAGACCACTGTTGTCTGATTGTGATGTTCACTCTGTTTGTGGCAAAGAGACATGTTATAATATATAGTGTTCTATTTATTTATATTGTTTGTACCCTAGCTGTGTCCGTGGTCGGTACCCTAGCTGTGTCCGTGGTCGGTACCCTAGCTGTGTCCGTGGTCGGTACCCTAGCTGTGTCCGTGGTCGGTACCCTAGCTGTGTCCGTGGTCGGTACCCTAGCTGTGTCCGTGGTCGGTACCCTAGCTGTGTCCGTGGTCGGTACCCTAGCTGTGTCCGTGGTCGGTACCCTAGCTGTGTCCGTGGTCGGTACCCTAGCTGTGTCCGTGGTCGGTACCCTAGCTGTGTCCGTGGTCGGTACCCTAGCTGTGTCCGTGGTCGGTACCCTAGCTGTGTCCGTGGTCGGTACCCTAGCTGTGTCCGTGGTCGGTACCCTAGCTGTGTCCGTGGTCGGTACCCTAGCTGTGTCCGTGGTCGGTACCCTAGCTGTGTCCGTGGTCGGTACCCTACCTGTGTGTATGGGCAGAACAGAGTGCATACGGCACAGTAGGGTTCCAGGGTGGCCACGGCCGCATTGAAACTCTTCTCAGCCAGGATGTTAGGAGTGCGGTTCTGCCACAAGTGGCCCGCCTTCTTCACGTGGCCATCCAGTGGCAAGGGGGAGAACAGCTCTGATTAGGGAGAAAGGAGAGAACACAGCCACACACACACACATCAGATCAGTCTAGATATACACAGAATGAGCATACAAGCAAGGATATAGGCTGTCAGGATACAGGCTGTGTCAGGCCTGCAATGCATGTAGCACAAGAGCCAGAGGAATCCGCAATAGTGTATTCGACCTGAACAGAGAGAAAAAAGACTGTGCTACAATGTCATCCCTCAGAACCAACCTTCATCGCTGGACATTTCCTGCTTGACGATGGATAGCGGAGAGCGCATAGGCGGCTTGCTGAGGGGGTGCCGGCGACTCTTCTTCACCTCCATCTTCAGCTGCTTGGAGTAGAACGATGACTGCTGAGGGACCCCAAAAATGAATGAGCAAGGCCCTGAGTTTGAATAAACTTCAACTTCACTTGACTCAACACCCTGATATCCACACTGAACCGGTTGGATTTTTGACCAGGCTTACCTCGAACCACAATCAACATGAATAATCAATTAATATATTGCTTTAACCCATATATTGTCCCAGGTCTGAATTAGCCCCTGATTAGAAGGAGAGGATGAAAAACAGAGGTGTTTCGGCCCTCCAGGACCGGAATTGAAGAACCCTGTCCTACACCTTGTTCCAGCACTGCTTACCTGCTGCATGTCTTTCACATCAAGCCTGCCCTCTGCTGGTATTTCTGTGTCATTGGTGTCTTGGGGCTCCTTTGGGGGCTCCTTTGGTGTCTGGGGCATGTTGAACGTGGCAAACTTCTCAAAAGCTGCTTGGAAGGAGTTTATAGGGACCGGTGGCGGGGTCGGTTGTTGTTTCTTCTTCTTCTTCTTCTTCTTCTTCCTCTTCTCTCCATTCGCTGTCAAGTGCCACGGGTCTGCCTGGGGGTCTTGTACTGGGTGAGAGAAATAAAAGAAGGGAATTAATACCGTGGGAAATGTGGAACCTCCCAATTCAAAAGGTAAAAAAAAAAGGTGCTATCAAATCTCTGTACTACTTGCTGATTCTAATAGCCATTTCTTCTGATACCCATTTGATCTGGTACCTTGTGATATCATGTAGCTCACGTCTAACTCACTGAGGAAGTTTGGAACTGGAATTTCAGTTAAGTTCCTTAACTGACCGAAATTGAAATGTAATTGCATCCAATGACGCAGCCAACTGGTGCCTTGCCTGGTACCTCCACCCCCCTCCATCAACACCTCCCTCACCCTAACAACCTCCTCCTGACGCTCACGTTCTCATCCTCACTCTGACATTGTCCTGACCCTAACCACCACCTCGTCACCTCCTCCTCCTCACCTCCTGCCCCAATCCTAACCTTAACCATTAGCGAGGACAATGCAAAACTGATCCAAGACCCTACTGCGCCCTACACCCACCTCCTGTGGCCTGGTCGGCAACGTCATCCTGCCTCTCCCGGTCCTGTCTCTCCTGTTCCTCCCGTTCCCGGTCCTCTCTCTCCATTGCCTCCAGAGTCTGCAGGGCCTCCCTGGCCATCCTCTCCTCCCTCTCCTGGCGCCGCTGGGCCTCGCGCTCCTCCACCTGGCGCTGGTACTCGGCGGCATCCAGCTCGATGCCTTCCTCCGCCAGCACCTTGACCTCCTCCAGCTTCAGCCGCCGCAGCTGCTCCTTCTTCTGTAAAGCTCTGGGGACGGAGGGATGGGGCAGACAGGGACATGAGTGACTGATGACACTTACAGTACTTTACTTGTATTAACACTTTGTACCCCACCCCCCCCTCACTCTTTTACCTATATTTAACTGTTTCAGTTTCCCCTGTAAAACATTCATGCTTTTAAAAGTGAGAGAGAGAGAAAAAGAAAAAGATGGATAGAGAGAAATGTAGGACTAAAGAGGAGAGGATGTAGGACAAAGAGTGAGAGGGAGAGTATAAGTTAGAGGAGGAGATAGAGGAATTTTGGAAGGAGGAGAGGAGAAGGAGGGGGTGAGGGGAGGAAGGAGAGAGAGAGTGTAGGAAGAAATTAGGAGAGATGAAAAGGGAGAGGATTAGAGATGGGCGGGGGGGGGGGGGGTGAGGGAGGGGGGAGGAGGGGGGGAAAAAAGGGCGCGAGGGGGGAGGGGAGGAGGAGGAGGGGAGGGGAGTGAGGTTGGGGGGTTTGGAGGGGGGGTTGCGGGGGGGGGGGGGGTGTGGAGGGGGGTTGTGGGGGAAAACGGAGGGGGTGGCGCGAGGGAGGGTGAGCGGCGGAGGGGGGGGGGGAGGGGCGGTGGGGGGGGGGGTGGGGGGGGGGGGGGGGAGAGGGGGGGGCGGGGAGGGGGGTGAGGGGGCGGGGGGGGGGGAGGCGGGGGGGGGGAGGGGGGGGGTGGGGGGAGAGGCGGGGGGGGGGGGGGGAGATGGTGGGGGGGGGGGGGGGGGGGAGGGGGGGGGGGGGAGGGTGGGGGAGAGAGGAAGGGGAAAGGGGGGGAGGGGGAAGAGAAGTGGAAAAAAAGGAGGGAAAAAAAGGGGGGAAAAAAAAAAAAGGAAAGGGGGAACAGTAAAAAATTTTGGAAAACCCCAACTCATTAAAAAAACATTATTTTTAAAAACTTTTGGGGTCAATTTTTAACCCCTTTCCCTTTATTTTATAGGGAATTCCCAAAAAAAAAAAACTTGGGAACCCTCCTAATTTTAAAAATTTTCCCCCTTAAAAAATTTTTTTTGGGCAAAACAAAAACGAAGTTTTTGGGGGGGGCTTTTTGAACCAAAAAGTTTGGGCTTACACACCAAACCCTCCCTCACTAAGTTTCGGGCCAAAATTTGCTTCCCATTTCACTTCCCCCCAAAAAAACCCCATTTCCGGAAAAAAATAAAAAAATTTCCTTTTCCCCTTTCCCTTTTTGGGGTTTTTAAGGTTAATGGGGTAAAAAAAAATTTTTTTACTGGTTCGCTTTTTGGAAAAGCAGTGTTCCTAAGTTTTTAACCTTCTTGGATGCATAAAAAGGTTTTTGGGTTTTTGGGGGGAGTTAAAATTTAACTCTTGGATTCGATTTTCCTTCATTTGACCCTGACGGGTCGATGAAATTAATTTTATATAAATGTACTGTTGTTCTCTTTTCCCCCTGACCTCTGAAACAGTTCTGGGGAGGTGACCCCCTTTTTCCCCCCAAGTCCAGCTAGGGTGGTCAGGGTGGGGGTCGCTGGTGGTCCAGCACCGTGCCCTCCTGCTTGCTTCCATGTACGTAGCCTCCGGCGAGGCGGCCCCAAACCATCCAGGAGATCTTCACCTTTCCCTTGGGGGGGGGGGGGGTAAAAAAAAAAAATTTGGGGGGGGGGGGGGGGGAAAAAGAGTGAGGATAGGGGGGTTTTAAGACAAGAGAGAGTTAAAAATTGAACCACTAAGGAGTTTTCCCTAAAAAAGTAGAGAGTGGGGTGGAACCCGGTGAAAAAAGGGGGATAAAGTTAGGAAAATTTTGGGGATTTGAGAACAAAATTTCAGTTGGTAAATCAAACCTTTACAACCAGAAGAAAAGGACTAAGCTTTTTCCTTATCGATAAAACATTTTCAATGTTTGCAACTTTCTTTTCTTATTACATGAGAGGTCTTTAACAAATTAGTAAGAACTTCCCCGGTAAAATTAATTGTAGGCGGCCTTTGCACTGGTGTCGGGATGCCTTTATAAATGTATCGGGTTTGTCAGGTGGGGGTCCCCTTAAGATTTCTCTTGTCCATTTTGCCTTACCTCCCTCGGCACATACACCACATGTTCAGTTGACTTTAAAATCTTTTACCGCCCTTCCTCTAAACATGATTGAAGGGATTAACAGGTGGTAAATAGGCAAGTTTAAAGCTGGTCAGGGTGCTAGTAGGAAAGAGCGGGGGTCCAAGTTTGACCTGGTCTTGGGATGCTTAGGAACTGTCTGAGGTTTGGTTGGGGGGGACAAGCAAATCCTTGGATTCGATGATGCCCTTCACGACCCTGAGGGGCGAGAATTCATTGATAGTAAGTATGCGATCCCTCCTGACCTCTGAAGAGCTGGAGGAGGGAGTGGGAGAAGGCTAGAGGGAGGTAGGGGGGGCGCTAGGGGGATCGCCCAGAGAGCCGCCCCCCGGACGGGGGAGCCGAGGAGGACCGACGAGAAAGGAGATTTCTGAGAGAAAGGGGAACAAGAGGAGAAGAGAGAGAGAGGGGGAGAGAGAGAGAGAGAGTGAGAGAGAGGAGAGGGGAGAGAGAGGGACGGAAGAAGGAGAGAGGAGAGTAGGGAGAGAGAGAGGGGAAAGGGAGGGAGAGAGGAGAGAGAGGAGAGAGAGAGAGAGAGAGGAGAGAGAGGGGGAGAGAAGGAGGGAGGTGAGCGAGAGAGAGGAGAGAGAGAGAGAGAGAGAGAGAGAGAGAGAGAGTGAGAGAGAGGAGGGGAGATAGAGAGAGAGGAGGGGAAAGGGGGAGGAGAGAGAAGGAGAGAGCGAGAGAGAAGGAGAGAGACAGGAGGGGAAATGGAAGGAGAGCAACAGAAGTAAGATGAAAATAAAAAACTAATTTTCTTTCTGTGCCCCGGTCGATGTATTACATTTCTGCTTTATTTCCTGAGCTGCGCTGAGAGGCCTTATGTTCAATTACTGGGAACATTCTTCAGGCACGCTGCACCTCAGACAGAGGCAGGCAGAACAAGTGGAGGAGAGACAGATCAAGAGCGAGAGAGAAAAAGAGAGATGAGGTACTGGAGGGAGAGCAGGGAGGTGGTAGTGGGGGGTTAGTAATAACGTCAACAACAAGAGAAAGCCCCCCCCCCCCCCCACCGCAAACCAATATCCACACACTACATCTCATCTAGGAAGCACTTGAGGGACGGAATTAAGTGAGGGGGAAACCGGCAGATGAAGGAAAGAGTAGTCTGGCTACCAGGGTCTGATTGGGGACTTTCATAAAAACATCAACTGGAACAGAGGAAGAGGTGAGACGACAAAACACAAATGAATGGGAGATAAATGTGTCTCTCTGCAATGACGGCTGTGGTGGGAACAGGGGGTGGGGGCATATTAAGCAGCGTACCAGAGGAAATAGGAACCCAAAAAAGTAAAGCCCATTTCTGTCCCATAAAATTATTAAGGGAAATGTATAAATGTACCATTCCCGAGAGAGGGTGGGGGGGTACTATGCTTAGATGACTGAATTTTCTAATGGAAATGTATTCGGAAATGTACCAAATGTCTCCAAAAACAACGCGTGACCCCCAAGGACTTCTAACCAATGAGCCCTATATACTCACTTCATATCCTAATGAAGTTAAATGATTGTAGGAAAACGTAAACAAAGACCTTAGGTGAGGTCGCCCCCCTATTAGAATAATATTCAACCTTAGGGGAGCGCTTAAAATATCACCATGCAACCTCGCAGACTCCGACTGTCATCCTTCACTAAATAAGTCTGGACTTTTAATGTCTCCGTTCCCATTGGTGGCTGTGCGTGATAAAGCAATCGTCTTTTAAAACATCACAACGTGATTGTACAACCTACTTGAGAAAAATAGGCACACTAGAAAGTCCTGTGTGGCTCAGTTGGCAGAGCATACGAAAATGTATGCACATGTGAAGGACGTCAGGCTGCTTCCTGATTTGGCTCGAACCCAGGACCTCTGCCTTGCTAGCACACGTGACCGCCCTCCCGAAGTGTCTTACCAGTTGGCGCAACATGAAAATTTAACTATTTGGCGGCGCAAGTGGGGACATTTAAGTCTGAGGAGTAAGTTTCATATCCCCATGTGCTACATACGCGAGAGTAGAGAAACTGCAGGAAAATCCAGTTTACAACCGTTAATGAGTATGTAGTAGTGTGCTGTACTGCCTTGTCCTCTTGTCTGCAGCCATGGGAGTGTCCATTCAGTTTACTACAGCTAGGCAGTTTCTGCCATATGGAGACTCACAAACACTCCCAGAGAAACAACAACACTAGAAAATCTGGATTCATTTGAACTTCATTTTGAGTTATTGAGCTAAACCGAGCAGGTAGAGAGAGGAACAACTGAGGTTCTGGGTACAGCTCCTTAACAAATGTCCACGCATAGCACATAAGGAAGCGGACATCTGCATTCACACCATTTATTGAGCATGTCTTACACACAAAGTTGTGAGGACAGGCATCTGCAATAAGGGGCTTTAGTGGTTAACTAGTCATTTCTGCCCCTGCTATCATGCGCTTATTTCCAGTGAGGGCCACCATACATTAACATAGCAGTCTGTTGTCAGTTCAGCGCGATATTACCACACAATAAGAAGTGAAATGACAATACTCTTTGTTTAAAGCCTACTCTAGGCCTATAACCAATGTTCCCTCAAAATGTGTTATCACTGAGCAAATTTCAGGTCTGCTGAGCGCAAACATGAACGTTGTGAAAATTCAGTGCAACTTCCGGGGGCGCGCCTTTTACTGTGAACACTGAGGCTGTACCCGCTTTAAGTTACAGTTTTAACAGTGGTCAAGTAGGCTACTGTGCCTATTTGATCATAATGTAGGCCTACCAGAGTGGCCTACCATCAAAAACCATGGAGAAAATGCATCCCATAACATTTTAACATGGAAATAGCTGTTCTATCATTCAGCCTACAATAGCAGTCAATGTGTGGTGTTTCAACGTAGGCCTACATTCCATGAGACCTTTGGAAGAAAAGCACAGGGCTTGACATAAACCTGTTAATCCACTTGTCCTTCAGACAAGGAGGTGACTGAACATGTTGTTGTGTTGTTTGATGCATACCATTATTACTGAGAATAAGACAAATTATGCTACCCTCTGCTTATTGGCTACTTAGCTTATTTAAACCTGTCTCAAAATACAACACTGCCCCTTTAAGACAAAAAAAAGCTCTTTACCTGACTGGCTTTTCAAAGATGTCTAGAAATGCACACGTTTTGTGCTCTTGTAGGAAGCAATCACTCCCCCATTGCTGACTACAAATGATCTATAACTGGGCTACGAATATGAACAAATGTGCACACGTCACTACATGTAGCTCTCGCTTTGATCTCAAAACAAGCCCATTGCTCAGGACCGCTCATGCTGTAAAAACAGTCCAGTTCAACGTGAATGGCACAGTTTCCATATAAGGCAATGGTCTATTTGTATTTATAAACTGGGTGGTTCGAGCCCTGAATGCTGATTGGCTGACAGCCGTGGTATATCAAGACCATATTACCACGTGTATGACAAAACATTTATTTTTACTGTTCTAATTACGTTGGTAACCAGTTTATAATAGCAGTAAGGCACCTCAGGGGTTTGTGGTATATGGCCAATATACCACGGCTAATAGCTGTATCCAGGCACTCCGCCTTGCGTAAGAACAACCCTTAGCATATTGGCCATATACCACACCCCCTCAGGCCTTATTGCTTAAATAGGTCTACTGCAGCTCTGATTGGTTATAGCGCACCAGTCTGTGTAGAGTACGGGCCTGAGTCGTGCCTGTCAATGCAATAGAATCCTACTCCGATGCGTTCTGTCTACAACAAAATCTCTTGAATAGTTAGTTTTGCATTCGAAGTCTTGCATAGTTCATTTTGTTTCGGTAGGTTGCATTGAAAGTGGCTAATTGCGTTGATTCGATCACAATTCCCACAGTATAGGGAAACGTTGACAGTGTTAACCTAAGGTGGAAAACTCTAGAAAGTTCAATCTCGTGCTTCTCTAGAGCAGGTTGATATTTCCTCTGCGAGGCAGTCCCGGGGGAGCTGCGCACGCACTCGTGCATACACAATAATAATACCGTAGCCTTCAGCATCTTCAGAACCCCCTATCAAAGCGCATCAGCTCTAACCCAAACAAACAAGCATACACAAACAAAATATCACTACTCGGCGAGTAAATCATCTGCAATTCACTTTGATAGATGAAAAGGCAGAGAATTGGGTCTGCGGCTGTGTGGTGTGTCCAGTTCTGAGGCACCAACAGCCAGATGGAATGGAAATGAATCTTCTATTCAGCGTGATGAATATCCTCTCACAACACCCAATGTTTTGGCCCATACTGAACCGTGAACTGTCATGTACTTTCTCACCTGAAGTATAGATCATTGATCATTGTTTCTCAACTCTGGTCTTCGAGTATCTCCAATAGCACACGTTTTTGTTGTAGCCCTGGACAAACATACCCAATTCAACTCATCGAGGGCTTGATGATTAGTTGACAAGTTGAATCAGATGCGCTTGTCCAGAGCTACTTGTCCAGAGCTACGATAAAAATGTGTACTGTTGGGGGGGTACTCGAGTACTCGAGGAGTGGAGTTGAGAAACAATGACCTAGCTAGATGACATATTCCTGTGTGCTAGTCAGGGAGGTAAGAGTGGAACACTGTTCAGCTACAATGAAAAGCAGTTAGGCACATCAATGAAATGTATTTATAAAGGCCTTTTTACATCAGCAGATGTCACAAAGTGCTATACAGAAACCCAGCCTAAAAGGGCAAACAGCAAGCAATGCAGAAGCACGGTGGCGAGGAAAAACTCCCTCCCTAGAAAGGCAGAAACCTAGGAACAAACCTAGAGAGGAAGCAGGCTCTGAGGGGTGGCCAGTCCCATTCAGGCTGTGCCGGGTGGAGCTACTACTACTACTACTACTACTACTACTACAACTACAACTACTACTACTACTACTACAGCGTTGTACTACTACTACAGCGTTGTACTACTACTACTATAGCGTTGTACTACTATTGTGTTGTACTGCTGCTGCTAACTACTACTACTACAACAGCGTTGTACTACTACAGCATTGTACTACTATAGTGTTGTACTGCTACTACTACTATAGTGTTGTACTGCTACTACTATTGCGTTGTCCTACTACTAAAGCATTGTACTACTACAGGTTTGTACTGCTACTACTATAGCGTTGTACTACTACCACTACTATTGCGTTGTACTACTACTATAGCGTTGTAGTACTACTATAGCGTTGTACTACTACTATAGGGTTGTAGTACTACTATAGCGTTGTACTACTACTATAGGGTTGTACTACTACCACTACTATAGGGTTGTACTACTACTATAGCGTTGTATACTACCTATAGCGGGATGTACTACTACTATAGCGTTGTAGCTACTACTATAGCGTTGTACTACTACCACTACTATAGGGTTGTACTACTACTATAGCGTTGTACTACTACTATAGGTTGTACTACTACTATAGCGTTGTACTACTACTATAGCGTTGTACTACTACTATAGCGTTGTACTACTACTATAGCGTTGTACTACTACTATAGCGTTGTACTACTACTATAGCGTTGTACTACTACTATGGGTTGTACTACCTTACTATAGCGTTGTATACTACTATAGCGTGTACTACTACTATAGGGTTGTAGTACTACTATAGCGTTGTACTACTACTATAGCGTTGTACTACTACTATAGGGTTGTACTACTACTATAGGGTTGTACTACTACTATAGGGTTGTACTACTACTATAGGGTTGTACTACTACTACTATAGGGTTGTACTACTACTACTATAGGGTTTGTACTACTACTACTATAGGGTTGTACTACTACTATAGCGTTGTACTACTACTATAGCGTTGTACTACTACCACTACTATAGGGTTGTACTACTACCACTACTATAGGGTTGTACTACTACCACTACTATAGGGTTGTACTACTACCACTACTATAGGGTTGTTAGCATTAGTGTTCTCTTTCAACATCTTGTGCTCACTTGGTTTACATTGACACACTGCACTTTTCTTTTTCTTTCTTTCTTTCTTTCTTTCTTTCTTTCTTTCTTTCTTTCTTTCTTTCTTTCTTTCTTTCTTTCTTTATTTCTTTCTTTCCCATTGCTCTGGCACTTTCAGGAGCCGCCTGTCAATGTGCTGAGACAAAATTGAGGGCAAGCAGCAAAACCAACCAATTAATCTCTTTGAAATTCAGACAGAACTCTTGAGGGGGAGCTCCCTGGCCAGTGGATTGTGTCCAGACCTGAGGGCCAGGGGGCGGACGGGTTAAACGAAAATTCCACCATCACACCGGCTGTATTTCTGTATTTTGACATTTCTATATCTTGAAAAGTTGGTTGCTGATAGGCAAATCATTTTGGGATTATATCAACCACGGACTAATGAAACAAATACTAAAAGATAGTTTTTGGGTGGCGTTATCCTTTAAGTGACTCAGAGTCTGTGTTGGTATCTAGTGGCCCTCTGAGCAGCACACTAATGCAGCACACTGACCTGGCAACCTCAAACCTGATACGTAGCCAAGCAGAGACAAAGAGGGAGTGTGTGTGTGTGTGTGTGTGTGTGTGTGTGTGTGTGTGTGTGTGTGTGTGTGTGTGTGTGTGTGTGTGCGCGCACGTGTTTTTTGTGTGTGTCCCTTACAGGTGAAAAGTCTGGTCCAATCCCAAAGTGCAAGACTAAGAACAAATATTGACAGCAGTTTGCCCTCTGGGAGAGGAGATAAAGACATGAAAAGAAAATGAAGTGGAAGGAGAAACAGGCGATGTGAGGCAGCTTACAGACACAGGTTAATACACAGAAACACGGCACCCCAACGACTTGTTGCTCCAGGCCTAAAACAGTGTGTCAGCACTAGACTGTGGAACTGCATGGTGGTGTAAGAGGAGACGGGTAGCATGTGTAATATATTACAACATCTCTGGATGTCATCTTCGCTATAGTGGTGTGTGTTTGTAGGGGACACTGGGGTGACCATCTGGTTTAGTGTGCATTGACCCACCTGTGTTGCCATCTTGCCGTAGTCAATCCAGCGCAGGGTGGCAAAGTTGGTGGACTCGGCGCAGTTGAAGCCGTGGTTGAAACCGGCATGGTAGCCATAGGGAAAGGTGACCATGAACTCGCCTTCTTCCTGAGTGACCTGGAGAGAGCAAGAGTTCCATTTTAAAAGGGTTTTGTGATTTTGTGATACAGTATCAAATCAACAGGATGCAGTCATATAATCTAATGTTACTTGCACCCTGATCAATTTCTAAACATTCTGTTTCGGGTTTGGATGATTGACCCTGAATACAGTAAACATTTTCATAAAAAGTTCAGTCAAACACGAAAACACAACATTAAATGTACATTAACTGACTGAGCATTAATGGTCAACAGAACCAGTGCAGTATAAGCAGTATGCAAACTAATAAAACTTCATATCCATATTGCATAAGCAAACATTTGTGTTATTAAACCGGCTTTTGATGGGCAGAGATGAGCAAAAATCTGCCAAAATGATGAAGTAATTTACATTTAAGGAAATGAAGCTCTGCCTCGGATGGAAGGACTTGGCAAAAACAGGGTCTTCGCAACCCCTGCAACCCAGCCATGGGAAACAAAAACAGATGCTAGCTCTTAATATCCACAATCATTAAGCACTGATGGAAGGCTGATTTAATTTAACTCTTCCTCCCTCCCTCACTTGAGCTGGCTAGCGGCTAACGGCTCCTAGAGAACCAGTCTCGGCGATACAAGGAATTAGCCAGTCCGTGCAAATGAAGATTTTCATTTGGTTGCGTTTCGTTCCAAGGCAGAGCTAGGGCCATCATTTACTGAAAGCTGGGGAGGCTGAAGAAGACACAGTTCACCGGTTTGTCTGCATCTCTTGGAAATTAAGCCTGACAAATTATTTGGCGGTTTTTAATTTGACACTCCTAGTTTTCTGTGGCTACCTCAACATTAAAATGTCTACTACTATTACGTGAGGTTCATTGGCAATCCCTGCCAGAAATATTAAATCCTCAAAATAAGCCTTAACTAGATTTCTACAGCTGAACTTCAAAAAGTGGATTGATGGGAGACTAGAGGAAGTGGATCGATGGGAGACTAGAGGAAGTGGAGCGATGGGAGACTAGAGGAAGTGGAGCGATGGGAGACTAGAGGAAGTGGAGCGATGGGAGACTAGAGGAAGTGGAGCGATGGGAGAGGCAGGCAGCGCAACAGAAGAGAGAGATGCACATAAATTCAGACTAAAGAAAGTGGAGAGATGGGAGACTAGAGGAAGTGGAGAGGTGGGAGACTAAAGGAAGTGGATCGATGGGAGACTAGAGGAAGTGGAGCGATGGAAGACTAGAGGAAGTGGAACGATGGGAGACTAGAGGAAGTGGAGCGATGGGAGACTAGAGGAAGTGGAGCAATGGAAGACTAGAGGAAGTGGAGCGATGGGAGACTAGAGGAAGTGGAGCAATGGGAGACTAGAGGAAGTGGATCGATGGGAGACTAGAGGAAGTGGAGCGATGGGAGACTAGAGGAAGTGGAGCGATGGGAGACTAGAGGAAGTGGAGCGATGGAAGACTAGAGGAAGTGGAGCGATGGGAGACTAGAGGAAGTGGAGCGATAGGAGACTAGAGGAAGTGGAGCGATGGAAGACTAGAGGAAGTGGAGCGATGGGAGACTAGAGGAAGTGGAGCGATAGGAGACTAGAGGAAGTGGAGCGATGGAAGACTAGAGGAAGTGGAGCGATGGGAGACTAGAGGAAGTGGAGCGATGGGAGACTAGAGGAAGTGGAGCGATGGGAGACTAGAGGAAGTGCAAAGCCGGTGTTATGTTTTACACTCAGATCAAGGGAGACGCTCTCTCTCGGTGTGCGTCAGATAATACGGTTCCTGAGGTAACGACACCCTGAAGGAAAAATAGAAAAAAGACAACTCTGCAGACAGTGGAGAACTTTGTACGCCCGTATTAGAACTTACGATTTATTTCACACCATGAGAGTTTCTATCTCCAACAATTATTATCCACAGAAAAAAATTAACATGTAGCTCAGTTGGTAGAGCATGGCGCTTGCAACGCCAGGGTTGTGGGTTAATTTCCCACGGGGGGCCAGTATGAAAATCTATGCACTCACTAACTGTAAGTCGCTCTGGATAAGAGCGTCTGCTTTATGACAAAAATTTAAATGTAAATTAATTTTCTATCCCGGAAATGTGAAAAGATGGAAATTGAAATGCAACTAAGACTCATGGCTCACCTTTCAATACTGTGTGCGTCTGTGTGAGTGTGTGTGTCTGTGTGTGTCCGTCTGTAGGCCTATATGTTCATGCGCACTTTTGCCGTGTTCACTTCTCCATCCTGTCACTCCTCCTCTGTCATTAGTCCCAGAGGTTGTTTGGAGACCAGCCACGCAAACACCCACAGCTTCAGCATGCCTCCTGACCCAGTCATCATCATCTAATGTGCCATTAACCTCCACTTTACTCAGCGATGGCAGGCTTTCATATACCCCATTCATTTCTAGCAGCGGTCGGTGCTAGAGTCATAGGGGGTGTGTACCAAATGGCACCCTATTCCCTACATAGTGCACTACTTTTGACTAGAACCCAATGGGCCCTGATCAAAAGTAGTGCACGTTAAAGGTTATAGGGTTCCATTTGGGACACAGACATATGCTGCACAGGGCTACCATGTCCTTTCACAGGTTGAAGGATTTAAATTGTGCTTCAGCAAAGGGTTCCATTCAGATGCGTTAGTACTAAAACTGCCTTTGGTAGTTAAGTGGCTCCTTTCTGAGAGCTGTTAACAGGCTAAGTGGTAACGTGATGAAATGAGTTGCATTGCATTACTGGAATATCCGTCAAACATAGATGGTTAAAATGAAAGGTGTTAGAGATCTGTTATTGGTTAAATGTGCATGTATGACATCAATCAAATGGACGGAGTTACTTCATTTATTTCCATATACAGTGAGGGACAAAAGTATTCCCCTGCTGATTTTGTACGTTTGCCCACTGACAAAGAAATTATCAGTCTATAATTTTAATGGTAGGTTTATTTGAACAGTGAGAGACAGAATAACAACAAAATTCAGAAAAACACATGTCAAAAATGTTATAAATTGATTTGCATTTTAATGAGGGAAATAAGTATTTAACCCCCTCTCAATCAGAAAGATTTATGGCTCCCAGGTGTCTTTCATACAGGTAACGAGCTGAGATTAGGAGCACACTCTTAAAGGGAGTGCTCCTAATCTCAGCTTGTTACCTGTAAAAAAAGACACTTGTCCACAGAAGCAATCAATCAATCAGATTCCAAACTCTCCACCATGGCCAAGACCAAAGAGCTCTACAAGGATGTCAGGGACAAGATTGTAGACCTAAACAAGGCTGGAATGGGCTAACAGACCATCGTCAAGCAGCTTGGTGAGAAGGTGACAACAGTTGGTGTGATTATTCGCAAATGGAAGAAACACAAAATAACTGTCAATCTCCCTCGGCCTGGGGCTCCATGCAAGATCTCACCTCGTGGAGTTGCAATGATCATGAGAACTGTGAGGAATCAGCCCAGAACTACATGGGAGGATCTTGTCAATGATCTCAAGGCAGCTGGGACCATAGTCACCAAGAAAACAATTGGTAACACACTACGCCGTAAAGGACTGAAATCCTGCAGCGCCCGCAAGGTCCCCCTGCTCAAGAAAGCACATATACATGCCCATCTGAAGTTTGCCAATGAACATCTGAATGATTCAGAGGAGAACTGGGTGAAAGTGTTGTGGTCAGATGAGTCCAAAATCGAGCTCTTTGACATCAACTCAACTTGCCGTGTTTGGAGGAGGAGGAATGCTGCCTATGACCCCAAGAACACCATCTCCACCGTCAAACATGGAGGTGGAAACATTATGCTTTGGGGGTGTTTTTCTGCTAAGGGGACATGACAACTTCACCGCATCAAAGGGACGATGGACGGGGCCATGTACCGTCAAATCTTGGGTGAGAACCTCCTTCCCTCAGCCAGGGCATTGAAAATGGGTCGTGGATGGGTATTCCAGCATGACAATGACCCAAAACACACGGCCAAGGCAACAAAGGAGTGGCTCAAGGAGAAGCACATTAAGGTCCTGGAGTGGCCTAGCCAGTCTCCAGACCTTAATCCCATAGAAAATCTGTGGAGGGAGCTGAAGGTTCGAGTTGCCAAACGTCAGCCTTGAAACCTTAATGACTTGGAGAAGATCTGCAAAGAGGAGTGGAACAAAATCCCTCCTGAGATGTGTGCAAACCTTGTGGCCAACTACAAGAAACGTCTTACCTCTGTGATTGCCAACAAGGGTTTTGCAACCAAGTACTAAGTCATGTTTTGCAGAGGGGTCAAATACTTATTTCCCTCATTAAAATGCAAATCAATTTATAACATTTTTGACATGCGTTTTTCTGGATTTTTTTTTTGTTATTCTGTCTCTCACTGTTCAAATAAACCTACCATTAAAATTATAGACTGATAATTTCTTTGTCAGTGGGCAAACGTACAAAATCAGCAGGGGATCAAATACTTTTTTCCCCTCACTGCTCAGCCTTACACTTCAGAACATGGGGTTGACCAGCTTCATTATTGAAATTCTTATTAAAAGATGATTGTTTGAAGAAATGACAAAGTCTCTCACTTGTTTAGAAAAATCCACCACAAGTCGACTACAAAATAAGTGATTCCTCGACTCCTTGCACGTCGACAGGCAGGTCAGCCACCAGGCAGGAAGTCAGAACCGTGCACTAGGCCTATCTATCGGCAATCAAAAGCTGTATCTCGCAATGGAATGCCATATCTCGCAATTTCTTAGCTTGCAATGTCTCGGAACTTCAGTAAAGCAGAGCCTATCATCAATGAAAAGGCTAGGATATTGAGATGAGCGAGATGAAACACTTTGCTCTCGCACAGTCACACAGTATCTACGCATGTGCACGAGTTTGCTTCATGCTGTTCACAGCGTAGTAGCCAGGGTACCCAAACAGCTGAGAAGTTGAGCTTCACGCATCTACGCTCTTAGCTGTTGTGGAAATTAACCCACTGTGCTGTTTTACTTTCTGCATCTACCCCCCCAAAATAGGATTTTTCTTAACGCTAAGGATCCCAATTTCATTTATACGTTTTAACGTTCACACCCCTAATACTGAGATGCTTTATGAATACGGGCCCAGGCTTTCTCCAGGCCCCTACCCTCAACACTAGCTCCAGACCTCAGCCATCATATCATCCTCAGCCCCAGCTCTCAGCCCCAGCTCCAGGCCTCAGCCCCAGGCCTCAGCCCTCAACCCCAGCTCCAGGCCTCAGCCCTCAACCCCAGCTCCAGGCCTCAGCCCTCAACCCCAGCTCCAGGCCTCAGCCCCAGGCCTCAGCCCTCAACCCCAGCTCCAGGCCTCAGCCCTCAACCCCAGCTCCAGGCCTCAGCCCTCAACCCCAGCTCCAGACAGACCTCATCCCCAGCTCCAGACAGACCTCAGCCCTCAACCCCAGCTCCAGACAGACCTCAGCCCTCAACCCCAGCTCCAGACCTCAGCCCCAGCTCCAGACAGACCTCAGCCCCAGCTCCAGACAGACCTCAGCCCTCAACCCCAGCTCCAGACAGACCTCAGCCCTCAACCCCAGCTCCAGACCTCAGCCCCAGCTCCAGACCTCAACCCCAGCTCCAGACCTCAACCCCAGCTCCAGACCTCAGCCCCAGCTCCAGACAGACCTCATCCCCAGCTCCAGACAGACCTCAGCCCTCAACCCCAGCTCCAGACAGACCTCAGCCCTCAACCCCAGCTCCAGACCTCAGCCCCAGCTCCAGACCTCAACCCCAGCTCCAGACCACAACGCCAGCTCCAGACCTCAACGGCAGCCCCAGACAGACCTCAGCCCCAGACAGACCTCAGCCCCAGACAGACCTCAGCCCCAGCTCCAGACAGACCCAAGCCCCAGCACCAGACAGACCCTAGACAGCCCTCAGCCCCAGCTCCAGACCCAGCTCCCAGCTCCAGACCCAGCTCCATCTTCCAGCCACTGTTCGTTGTGCTACCTACCCTGTCGAAGGGGATGCTGTACTTCTTCAGTATGGACGGGGAGATGAGAGTCATCTTGTGGCGGAGGAAGGCGTCACAGCCCTGGGAACTGCCTGGGAAGAAACCTGCAGGTAGGGGGAAAACACACAAAAACACCACATTACCAAATTGCCTCCCATTGTCTGAATTCACCTGTTGTGGCATCCATACTAGTAAAATGTGTTTTCCATGGGAAATCGTGAAATGTGGCATGTTGTTCACGAGAAATTGTAACATTTAAAACCTCAAACAATACACTTCAGTTTCATGTCAGCTTCCTGCTTATGACGACCACGTTACCCCACTCCCGGGAAGTTAATAAGCCACAGGAGGTTTGGCTTGTTACAGACAGAGACAGTGCAGATCTTAGGCCTACACTCTCCATCCAAATGGGAGATATAATCGGTGGTTGGAGGTTATCAGTAAAGAGCTCTCCCATCTGTCAGATGGAAAATGTGGGGGTCACAGCACTCAGAGCACCACGCAGTGCACGCCCAGAAAGCTTTAATTATCATAATTTCCTTGGTCCCACAATCCCTTCCTTCGTGCCGGACCCCGGGTCACCGCCAGGCTGTACGGCATGCCAAACTGAAGAGTGAGAAACTTTTGATAACGCGTAGGAACATACGTCCACCGACCAGTGTCAAATTGCGCATGGTGATATCAAATAAAGTACTTGAGAGCTTGTGTCAGCTGTGTCACGATACCATTATCTTTTTTGAACTTGTGAAAGCATGCGAGCGGGGGGTTATTTTCGGCATCATACCATTTCATCTTTCTTTGTCTTTTTTAGACTTCTACTGCCTGTTTATGGGGCCTTTTCTACACAGACTTTACACAGCGAGAGGTGGTTGTCGCCTAAATAAAAACTCATCTCAATCTCATGTGCAAAACCCTCACTCTTTCTTCCCTCTTCAGAGGATGACAATTAATTTCACGGCCAGAGCCTCAAAGACCAGAGCCTCCTCTTCAAAAACAAACCAGCCTCTCGTATATCATTAGTGTCCGAGGCCTTCAACTTACTAGAAAGAGAGGGAAAGAGATCTGTTTCGCTGTCTCTCGCTCTCTCTCACACGCACCTCTCCTGACGAGCAGTCTGTGCTGTGCCTCAAAGGATGGGAGACCGTTTGCCCAGTTAAACTTTAATGTAACTGACAGCATAATCGAGGCCCATTTCATCCTTCATTTTCATTGCATTGTTTCAGAGCCTGTTGGTCTCAAAGAGCTGCCTTTCTCTGGCGGCTGCTGTGTGAGCTGATAAAGGTGAATAATGTGCTGGCGGAGCCACATATTAATCCCCATTAAAATGCAGCTGGCAGTGTGGAACTCTCCCCGGGGCAATATTAACTTTAAGCTTCATTTTGTCCTTTGAGTTTGAAATGAAGTTCTCTAAGTGATTTTTCAAAGTGATTTCAATGGGGCTTTCTACATTCTGATTGTTCTATAGTGTTCAATCAAACTTCATCCCAAAAAAAAATTGTTCGGCATTCCCTGCACTTATTTGAGATCATTTCCACACTGCCACGTAGGGCTGCACGATACGGGCAAAAAATTATTTGCTTTATTTTTATCAATAATTGCAATTGTGATATGACTTGCAATTTAGATAAACACTTGGGTGAACTGTTGGAATCATGGAAATATAATGATTATTATTAGTTAGAATATAATAGTGGGCACTTTGAATACAGTGTTGTATGACAAAAAGCCAGGCAGGAGTTATTGTGACAGGGTAGGAACCAAAGTGTTGGTCAGTGTTTCCTAGGGGACCCTATAACCTTTAGCTACATTGAATGTTCTCTTAGCTATTACATGTAACTAACATATTCATGCTTCACCTATTCCTCTTTGATTTAGAAGACACTGTTGCACAAACACGCTGATTTAGGCCTACACCATCACTGGTATCAGTCTGTATTAGCTAGCTACGTTTGCGCTGACTCAGAGCAAACGTAGCTATTAGCATTAGCTAATTAGCATTAGCGGCTAAAACGATGTATTTTAGCCACAACTTGCTTAGAAAAGACAAACTAGCTGTTTGTAGACAGTAAGATACAAACTAATAGTGTAATTATAGAACGCTTGTGGATTTACAGTGAGGGACTGGGCTGATTCCTCACCCTTCTCATGATCATTGCAACTCCACAAGGTGAGATCTTGCATGGAGCCCCAGGCAGAGAGGGAGATTGACAGTTATTTTGTGTTTCTTCCATTTGCGAATAATCGCACCAACTGTCACCTTCTCACCAAGATGCTTGGCGATGGTCTTGTAGCCCATTCCAGCCTTGTGTAGGTCTACAATCTTGTCCCTGACATCCTTGGAGAGCTCTTTGGTCTTGGCAATGGTGGAGAGTTTGGAATCTGATTGATTGATTGCTTCTGTGGACAGGTGTCTTTTATACAGGTAACAAACTGAGATTAGGAGCACTCCCTTTAAGAGTGTGCTCCTAATCCCAGCTCGTTACCTGTATAAAAGACACCTGGGAGCCAGAAATCTTTCTGATTGAGAGGGGGTCAAATACTTTATTTCCCTCATTAAAATGCAAATCAATTTATAACATTTTTGACATGCGTTTTTCTGGATTTTGTTGTTGTTATTCTGTCTCTCACTGTTCAAATAAACCTACCATTAAAATGATAGACTGATCATGTCTTTGTCAGTGGGCAAACGTACAAAATCAGCAGGGGATCAAATACTTTTTTCCCTCACTGTATATTAAGAAGCAAAGTGGAAATCAGCATCGTTAGCATGTGCTGCATTGACCATGCAGACTGAACGGCAAGTGGTCTCGCGGTTGAGCAACAAAAACTGCACTCTAGTGACAGGGGGTGGGCCTTGGTCTGTGTGAAAAGCGGCATGGAGAGGGATAGGAGAGCGACAACTCAAGTAGTGGAGTAAAGTATAAAAACAGACGCTACACACGGCGGAGTAGCGTATCACATTTAACAAACCGAACATTGAAATACCGTCATAGAAGGTAAAGTCAAAAGTCAAACCGGTCCATGCCGGTATATAGTAAAACATGGTCAGCCTAATGAGCATGAGGATCTTGAGTAGTCTTACCTTGAGCCAGCCTCTCCAGCCTTTTCCCGTGCTCAGGTGGGATGGCGTACCTGAATCGAGGGCAAGAGAAAGAAAGAGAAAATTAGATGGGTGGAGGGGAGAAAAGAAGAGTGAGGACTAGGAGGATGGAAAAGACAACGCAATCAATGAAGAAGAAATGACCGTTTAGGGATCTAGCATCACCTCCTCTTCCTCTTTTTAATGACCATTTAGGGATCTAGCATCACCTCCTCTTCCTCTTTTTAATGACCGTTTAGGGATCCATCACCACCTCCTCTACCCTCTTTTTAATGACCGTTTAGGGATCCATCACCACCTCCTCTACCCTCTTTTTAATGACCATTTAGGGATCTATCACCATCCCCTCTTCCTCTGTCTTTGTAGTGCTCTTTCCCCCCTTTCAAATGTAATCATCAGAAAACAAAGGAAAAAGAGAAGAGGCAAATCGCTCTCCGTCCGCATTAGAGAGCCAGAGCTTTTATTGTGCTTGTTATTACCATCATTATTGCCACAATTATTTCCTCCACTTTAGAGAAAGCTTAACCCCTCAGAGACCTCTGCACAATGCACCATGTACAAAACCTGCACCTCACTCTCCCCTCTGGCCAAAAGCTTGTCTAGGTGATCAGAATAGAAAGGCAGATATTGGAGTCTATAGCAACGGAGTACAGCTGTGTTAGACTGTCACCGGGTGGGCAGAGAGGGTGTAGGTAATGAAGAAGGCCAACTTGCAGGTTTGTCTCAATATTACAATCGTAACTGTGTCTGGTCTGTCTGCATGAGAATCAAAGGAAAAAGTTGCTGGCGCCCCCCCAGGGATTTTCACATTCTATAACTAACTAACACGCCTTCGTCAGGTATGTGTGTGTGTGTTTGTGTATATACAGTGGTATCCAAAATGACTGGCACCCCTGACTGGCAATGCACAAACAATCCTTTAAAAAATATAAACAGTATAATTATAGACACCAGGAATTAAATTCCACTTATTTAAGTTTGTCTTAAGGAACTATATTGAGCCATTACATTACTTCCTGTTTCACAAGGGTATAAAAATGAGGTAACATGCATGCAATATCCCTTTGTCATCCAACACTATGAAGAAAACAAAAGAACTGGCAGTTCAAAAGAGACAGATGGTTGTAGACCTTCATAAATCTGTTAATGGCTACAAGAAGATCCACAAACTATTGAATATACCACTGAGCACTGTCATGGCAATTATTAAAAAATTTAAAAGATATGGAACAGTTGAAAACCTCACGGGTAGAGGATGCAAATGCATTTTGCCCCCCAGGATAGGGAGGATGGTGAGAGAAGCAACAAAATCCCCAAGAATCACTGTGAAAAAATAGCAGGACTTGTTGGCATCTTGGGGTCACCAGGTTTCAAAAAGCACCATCAAACGCCACCTCCACAACCACTGGCTCTTTGGAAGGGTTGCCAGAAGAAAGCCCTTTCTGACCCCAAGACACAGACGCAAGCACTTGGAGTTTGCCAAACGTCATTTAAATTATGACTGGAAGAAGGTGCTCTGGTCAGATGAGACCAAAATTGAAAGTTTTGGTCAGATGCAGAATCGGCATGTTTGGCGTCGAAACATACAGTGGGGAAAAAAAGTATTTAGTCAGCCACCAATTGTGCAAGTCCTCCCACTTAAAAAGATGAGAGAGGCCTGTAATTTTCATCATAGGTACACGTCAACTATGACAGACAAATTGAGAAATTTTTTCTCCAGAAAATCACATTGTAGGATTTTTAATGAATTTATTTGCAAATCATGGTGGAAAATAAGTATTTGGTCACCTACAAACAAGCAAGATTTCTGGCTCTCACAGACCTGTAACTTCTTCTTTAAGAGGCTCCTCTGTCCTCCACTCGTTACCTGTATTAATGGCACCTGTTTGAACTTGTTATCAGTATAAAAGACACCTGTCTACAACCTCAAACAGTCACACACCAAACTCCACTATGGCCAAGACCAAAGAGCTGTCAAAGGACACCAGAAACAAAATTGTAGAC